CTAATATTGGGTGATAATAGCAAGATAAGCCAATTTACATAATAGCACTGTATCGCTGTAGCAGCTTAGGTAATAATGCCTAATATTGCGTGCATAATCAATCCAGTCTCTCCCGTGCAGTAAAATTGTAATACCGTTACAGCAGCGCTCTGCTACATTATCGCTGATGCGAATGTTAATATAGCTTGAAACATTAAAAACGTATTTTAATGTGATAGTAAAATATTGTTGACGAAAGCCATATCAATATATATGATGACATCGAGACTAACCTTCAATGTGCAAAAATTTTTTAAACAGCGAATTTTACAAACGTCACGATCTATATACGTCGTATACCTTATTGATTAAGGCTAAATCTATTAAGGTGCAGGAAATTCGTAGTTGACCTATAGTTACGGTACTATGTTACCTTTTATTAGTAAAATTTGTAGAAATAAAAACATATTGAATTACCATTTATTACTAAAATTTGTGGAATATAATGTATAAATATAAATGTATAAATATAATGTACGTTATGAATCAATATGACAACATAACAACATCTTGTAGATCAATTTAAATTTTCAACCATTTGATTGGGGATGGATTAGTAAAGATTGGGTTATAGTCATTTTATTACGAATAACGTCAATCTTATATGAAAACAATCGCAGCGGGACTACTGATTGTGAGCACTTCCAACAGTAGAAATACTGTACTACGTATTCTTCTTCTAGTTCAGATTGCAGATTGTGTTGATTTCATGGATATTTTGTAGGTCTCTATTTATTGCTTTAATCAATTGATAAGGAAAGAAATAGTGAAGAGTGAGTAATGGCTATTTTATGAACAACGTCAATGGTAAAGGAAATCAAGCATAGTGGAGTCTTGATTATACAGTATAGATGTTATACTGTTTATCTACGCTATATTATAATTAATTATCAACACTTCAAAAGTGTAGTACAGTAATACGAGTAATGTACGCGTATATAATATATATTCTTCTAGGCCAGACTGGAGATTAAGGTCAGGTACAGCCGTATAGATCTCCATTTATTACTTCAGTTAGTTGATTGGGGAAAGAATAGTAAAGAGTGGGTTATGGCTATTTTATAAATAACGTCAATCGTGAAGGAAAGCAAGCGCATTGGGACTACTGATTGTGACTATTTATTAAAACGATAGTAATATTCTTCTAGGCAAGACGGCAGATTACGTTCGTTGTGGACATTTTGTACGTAGGTAACGTTAGATCTGTCTTATACACACTGCTATGTCCAGCTGATAGGGAAGGAAGAGTGAAGAGTGAGTCGTGGCTATTTATGAAAAGAGTTCATCGTAAAGGAAACTAGCGCAGCGGGACTACTGATTAATTAATTATATATAGCACTTAAGACGGTACTACAGCAATACAATATGTCTATTCTCCCAAGCCTCAATTTAGTAATGTACTGTAGTTGCGGAACTAGAAAGGTGGAAATGGTGGCTCTCATGAATAAATAAATTACCGTAAATTAACCTGGAACCATGACAAATGGGAGGGCAAGTGTAAATATGTGATGGCTTTCCTTATGGGCGAGACTGTGTTTTAAATGTAAATACGTGAGACTTGAATACTGTATAGTACAGTACAGTACTGCACTGGGTACTGTAGACTTGAATACTGTACACTGTACAGTACTGTATACAGTACAGTATAAGAAAAATTCTCGTTTACAGTACGTTACGTATCGCGCATCCATGCTGTATCCTGTTACCACGGTAGCATTTATTCCACCCACGACGATCCCTATCGGCTAGACTTGGCGTTAATTTTGACGATCAAATTTACAGTTTATCCTAATTTTGAATGTTATTTCATCATTCATCGATTATGGCTACGGTTGTTAGGTGAGAATACAACGGAATAGCACTACGCATAAATCAGTTATTTTCTGACCAGTTTGTTTCGATGTTTATTAGTAATTATTATAATCGAAGTTCCACAACAATATTTTATTCTCTATCCAACTATCATGTTTATTGGTTAACAATAACTTTTAGATCAGAATAAGCAAAGTCCAATATATTTTATCATCACTCCTACTTATAGTATCAGCATCCTATACTAGTATTGCCTAACAATTCTACTCCATGCTAAAAATATTTTCCATCTCCATTTCTTAATTTTTCCCCCTTTCATGAAAATTCAACACTAATTGACTCTGTATCCTATTACTTATTCAAATTTTTATCATTACTTCAACTAGTCAAAAAATGATATTTTCACACTACTTATATATTATACCACTTTCGTACAATCACAGGCTTCGTAGCTAAAGCTGGACAATAAAATGAATTTTTTACTATATCATTTTTTAACCATTCCTACCCAAGAAAAATTTTAACATTGCTTTTTAGACTTTTACTTTTTTAATCCTGGTGTGATCGTTATGTAGTGTGTATGATACAATACAGAGTGTAGTGTATTTAGAATATACTGTAACTATATTCTACTCTTAAATATAGACATGTTGTATTGCTCTTATATTTAGACAGATCTACAGTCCTCTTACTCTACATTCATATATAGACTACTGTATTTAGTTATTACGGTACTCGCTGTTTTCTACAATCATCTGCTATTTTGTAACCTGTTATGGTATATGTTGTATCTAATTCCACAATCCTATTCTCTGCATGTGCTCTATCTTCAAAACTATAAATACCGGCGATTTCTACCTCAGAGTTCATTAGCCTCTCAGTTAGTCTTCTAGTTAGTCTCTCACAGTCTAATACTTCTACTCGTTACTCACGACAGCTTACACGCTGATCTACCGTAACTACCTCACTGTACTTCACGTTACTAACCTACAATAAAGCATAACTTTTATAAACCCTTTGTTGTAATAATTGTAAATGGCGACTAAATCTCAATCCTCTGAGATATCAAACCCTCCATCACACAGAGTATGCTCTCTTAACAATGCCCATTATAAAGTAATTACGATAACACGGCTTAACTATATTATAACTCGACTTCCACCTAATACAAACGTTATTATTGACCACTAGATACGGTTAAAGTTCGATAGTCCATCCGATATAAGGAGTTATTAAATAGATTGATCAATAAGAATAAGATCTTGTATTTTGGTTAAAATGCGTCCATTTTATTGTAGATATCTTGAAGATAAAACGACTTTGTCCAATAAGCTCAATTACATTCAAGTAGACGACGAGTATACCATTCATACACGGTTTACTCCTACTCCTACTGATGTTCGCATGTTTTATGCTAATCTAATATATCAACCATCTCTATCTATACATGTATTTTTCCAACTACTAAATGCTACCCGACATCAAGATATGCGCATAAATTTATTCGAAATTGATTGTGATGAAGGGAAATGAAATTATAAACTGGATCAATATTGATCTCCTTTTATCATGGTAACGCCAAGCGATCAGGAATCTCATTCTTTTATTACACGTATATTCCAACTATATCGTGCTAGGTCTAGTCGTTGTCGCCTAAAACTCTAATAGATAGGATATTTAAAGCAGTGGTTGATTAAAGGAGAGAATTCATTACGTTTTTATTATATCTTCCTATCTTACGTATCTTATAAACGGGCACTTAAATTCTATCGGCTTGGATCATTCTCATACTACCATAAAAATATAATTAGATAGCGATCTTTAAAATGAGAATACAATACATATGACAACGTGTGATATATACCAATCACGAAATTCCAAATTTTAGAAAAATAAGGGCTTTATTGAATCTTATACAAAGATTAGCTACACACAGCTCTACTTTAGCCGAATACTACTACTAAAGACTTCTAGAACGAACTAACAGAATAATCTAAAGTTGCATGCTTTTATACTTTCCGTAGCATTCGCAGCTACAATCCGCATGGCAACCTTTTACCTTATTTTACACATAGTTAAATTATTCTTAGTAAGACTATTCTACTGCGGACCATCATTAATCCAATATGGATACGACTACAGTACTTACATAGACATTATTCACACCAGCCAAAGTACAATGAATTAACCATATCCTAATATATGATTTACAGTTCTATTTTTACCTATAGCCATATTAGTAACTTAACAGCTTACTGTAGTATATAGTCATCTGTACTCTAGCATAGAGTCTCTACCACTACAATCTACAGTTACAGCTACCAAATATCTCTTAGGATAAATATCTACCGTACATTATACTACACATGGCTAACAGTCTATAATCATAATACTAAGTTACATTACACATCGAAATATAATTAATTGTATAAAGGATATTGCTAACTGTTACTGCGAAAACTATCCTGTCCATCGTATTATTATTGAATTAAACGATAACGTAATGCATCCAGTTGGAGTAAATTCTAATACTGACTACTGCGTATGCTATCAGTTCCATAATTAATCGTGTTACTTAAATATCGTTGATGGTCGTTCATTCATTTGACACATAGAATAGCTCACATTGATGACCGAACGACGAGAACTATGATCCTCGAATAAATAAAAAATTAGTTAATTAAACGACTGGGTTATGCATAATTATCAATACTACCCCTATAAACTAGGTTGAGTCTACTATGTATAAGGTATATGTATATTCTTTATATAGCATCTAATATGGGTAAAATTTCAAATATTATTTTATGGTATCCATAAAGAACCAAATATTAGAAAATTGTAATTCTTTTTCCTAAATGATGACGTCTTCGTTTTTTTTCTCATGCTATCATTTACAAATACTATTATCAAATGTATCGTTAATAATGGTTAACATCATTGTCTATCATTATCTAGTATCTGTAGGCCATTTAAATGTTGTAATACCAAGTAAAAAAATACGGTGAAAGATCCATTCTTTGATTAAAAAATTATAACCTTTCAACGACGACATCAACATCGAGTTGATACAACGATAGCCAACCTAATCTATCGTTATCATTGGAGTCGTCGATAACCTATCATCTTCAACGTAAGTAAATCGCCTAATGAAGTACAATATCTCTAGCAGCCTTGACCGAAATGTCATACCATTATCTGTTGGCATTATTCAAGCTATATTATTAATAATTATTTTCATTATTGGCCTTGTCGGTAATATTTTAGTCATAGTCGTGATCAAAAGGTACGAAATTAGTAGTTCACCGATAAATATACTCCTACTTAATTTTGTATCCTGCGATATCTTATCATTATTTATTTTATATCCAATAACGATCATTGTCAAATTTGGCTTACCAGTCTATCCATTTGATAGTAGTTTCTGTAGTTTTGAAGGTTTCTTACGGCAGACTTGCAGCATTGTTACTATATTAACATTAACTGTAATTAGTGTTGGACGTTATGACGCTATCGTACCACCGGTTCATAAGCGTGATCATGTTATAACCCAACTTCGAGCTAAAATGTTTGTCGTATGGACATGGATTATTGCTTTTATATTCAGCTTTCCACCTATAGTTGGCTGGAATCATTACATATATGCAAGTGAATTTTCTTACTGCCTACCTCAATGCTTGCATTCAGATCGAAATCAATCCAATCAATCAACCATTCAATCTTCTCTCTTGTATGGTTATCTACTATATCCTCTCGTCTACAATTTACCATTACTTGTTATGATTCATAACTATTGTAATATATTTCGTGCTATACAAACTAAAACCGATCGATTACAGCAACGTCAAGGTTTTATTATACGCAAGCAGTCGAAATTTCTCTTCGAACTACGAACATGTAGGATTATGTTTACAATAACTGCATTTATTATGGTACTAATGTATCCATACATCTTGTCACGTCAAGCTTGTTTTATTTCAGTTGGTGTTAATGATACCTTTGCATCAGGTGATGCCTATAGCATTATTATGTCATTTCTGGGTGTTTTAACGATGGCTGCACCAGCAGTGACACCTGCGATTCTACCATTAATGCATCGACGATTTAAACGAGAATTTTACGGTATTTTATGTAGTTGGACCCGTTCACATAAAATCCAGCCCTTAATTTATTATGTTAAGGCTGAAACTGACGAACATTTAATACGTAGTATCGATGGCTATATAAAACGCAATGAACAGAGAGATAATAAGCATCGTATACCGCAAGATCTGCAAGAAAAGCCAGCTAATGTGCAAGCATGGTCGGGTTTTAGCTTTAGTGATGTTGTAACTAGAGATGTTCGACAACATAACATAGAAAATCATGGCTCTTAATCCAGCTAGGTTACTCACCTATAGAACAAAATTGTGAACAGGCTACAATAGAAAGGTTTGTACTTCCTTCATTGTACCAGTACACGGATACACGGTAAAAAAGTTACTGAACCTCTGACAGGTCTATCAAATGGTAATACTATCTGTTAAATGAGCACATTATTGTAAACCGTCAGCAAAGCGACGGGAGTTTGCACTAGTGTATATGAATTAAGATTAAAATGCCAATTAAGGAGGTTGATCAATTTGATGACCTTATTATAGGTCTAATTTCATCAATGAATTTGTATCAGGAATTGAATATCTTTAAAGTATAGCGATAATTTAGAAAACAATATTGAAGAAAAGTTATCTATGTGGAATGTTATAAAAAAGATGAGATAAATTGATTTATAGTATGATGTAGCTAGCAATCGAACTTTGTAATTAGTTATTACTTAATTGTTATAGCATGTAATAATTGAATTCTGAAACTCTGTAGATGTAGAATTATCTAAACAAGTTGTATACTTTATAGCATCGTTTCCTGTACAAAATTAATAAGCGTTCGTGGATGACATTTAAAGAGCTAATAGAATTAAATATGAATGTAAGGAAGATATAGAAAAATGTTGTCAGATTAGCTTACTGCTCTATTCAGAAAGATATAAGAGTTAGCTAAGTCGAAATGGTGGTCGTAGTATAAAGTTTCAAGCACTTACAACTAAAAATTAAAAATTACAAAATATTTAGATTATTTTTTTATCACATCCATCTACTTGAGCAACTGTATAGTATATGAATTTTATATTCTATCTCTTTTGTAACATAAACAATTATTTAATCCTAACCTTGTTAATGTTTAAAATCTGCTACGATAACCTTTACAAATATTTTTAATTGCTTGTTATTGAAAAAATATTTCAGCTTCAAAAAATCAAATTTGATTGCACGCTTATACTAGTGTATATAAACACAAAATTCTTCACTAATGCCTGTGTATTTCATTGACTTGCAACAGTAATCAAAGCGTTAATCATAGAATCAAGACCATCGGTATGACACCGGTACTTCGTTTCATTTAAGTTATTGTGAGTTAGCTATAGTCGTACTTTGAATCAGAGTCCTGTATATCAGTCAGACGATGACCCATAACCTGACCCGTTTAAAGCAGAATTACTTGTCGTTGCTAACGACATTAATTTTACTTCTTGATCGAAAGATTATTAGCTAACTTTTAGATTAAGATAGTCAATGAGATTGTACGAGTACATAAGTTATTAAGTTCAATCAAATGTGATTATTCAGAATGAAATGAAACTAATGTCTGCAACTATGTCGCTATAGGAGTTGTTAGATCGACAATACCGTACAATATGCATATTTACTATCTCGAACAAACAAATATAGTTTACTTGCGAACCTGACCAAGATCTAAAGCTTAGTCAAGCCATATACAATCTCATGTAGTAAAATGTTTATATGATAACGATAGACATCGTACCATGATAAATTAATGTGTCCATTCTTAGTATGCGAGTATTATACAAATATATTTATAATAGGTAGACTATTCGTTGCAAAAATACCCTTATGGAGAGTTACATTATATTTTCGTTATATTTCATAATTACATTCATAAACAAATATATTAATTAGATATGATTGTACTATCTATATGTTATAACTATATTACTAACGTTAAAATAAAATTGTAATTACACCTTAATTCTACTGTAGAAATAGCTCAGTAAAATTACTTTGTACGGGATAAAAGTTATACTGACAATGCAAAATTTCGGTAATTCTCGTTTCTAGAATAGGATGACATTAAATCAATTAATTATTGAAATTGCTTATTCTATTAACAATTTTATAGCACAGACCTTGCTCGTTGAAAGATTTTTTATTCTTTATAGAAATATAGAGGATGCAGATGTAACTACTTAGCATTCATCTTATACATCGAATTAATTTTAGATTGCTTGTTCTCTTTAACGTTCTATAATCACTTTATATTCGTAATACATGAATACAGAGGCCAGAGTTACAATCAAGTATTATTATTTCCATGAATTATCTTTAACATCTTGTCTTAGACCTATTCAATTAATTGAATTTGTTCCAATTTATTCTACGATGTGCATTGATATCCATCACTGGATAGCTTGTAGTCTCTACTTTGTTCCAATTAATTATATTAACTAATCGTGGCAGTTAGCTCAAATCTTATTTCTGAATTATTTCTTCTATTTTCCTTATAAAGTCCAGTCCTAAAACATATCAACCGTGATAATATTTAATCTGACTGTCCCTTGCGGTAATGGTATGGTCCTTGATATTAAAGATTTGCTGAAGGGTAGATACTCCGAAAGGACGAGGAAACTTGTTAGTATTCATGCCTCCATAGTTGAACACTTAAACTAGGAAAGTTTAAAATTTAATTACAGCCATAAGGTTACAATTTAAGAAATATTATCGATTAAATTAGTATATAGTCAATCTGAAGACCAGACTTATTAAATAACAAACAAGGATTAAGATATGACGCTAAGTGACGAAATTCAAAGGACATCTGCTTGAATTAATCAACGCATATTAGAATTAAGGTGAATACGACAAGTATGCAGTAGCATACTCTGCATAAGTAAAAATCAATTCAGAATACGGTCAATAAAAGGTTGTTAAATATTGTCTAGCAATTATTACAACCGCTAACGAAACATACGGCTAAAGATATTAGTAAAGATTCAAAAACTTTTTATAGAAATTTAAAAATTGATGATTGAAACCCCTTCTGCCTGACTGACAGTTTAAGTTATTAAAAGTAATAATTTTACTAATTTATTAAAGTACTACGAGTTCAATCGAATTCAGGTCTTCTTCAATTCTGAATTACAATTAAAATACTGCTAGCCAAATTGGTTTGCTCTCATGTGAATAATCAAGGAAATGTCTTTTACGACGCATATATGTCTCCTTATTAATGCCAATTGTAAAATAAAACGTGTCTTTGTCGCAGAATTTTGAACACCAAGCCGACTCAATTGCGGTGTTAAATTACAGCTTTCAGCTTTTATTGTACTAATTATGATTATAGCTTACAACTCATTTTACGATTTCCGGAATATCGTATCGATTATGAAATTTCATTTAATATAGGAAAATAAAAAAATATGTTGAAACTAAACGATTTTAATCATTATCGACCGGCAAAAACCTGTCATTTCTTTCACCATAACTAAAATGTTCTACAGACAGCTATCGCCATTGTCACGACCATAATCTAATTTTCTCTCCCTCCAACCATAATATTAGTAGGAACTATAATCTGAAAATAATTTGATTAATTTTCTAGTTAATCACATATGTAATTTCGATTTCACTGGAAGAGCATGGGAAATCAGCTTTCTTAGGTTTGATATTCATTATAAATGCTAATTGTATAGTTTTCTCTAGACTTATCCAATTTGCTTTCATTTATGTATTGAAGTGTGTAGTGAATCTACTCAGTTATAAGACAAAAGTAGATTACAGATTTAATTACACTATGATTACATGATGATAACATCGATAAATGTTTTCAATAAATGGAATTTTTAATAGCCCCAAGTATACCATTAATAAATGGCAGGATATCTATTTCACATTCTTCTCGCTCCAGTTTATCATCGCATTATCGATTCAATAAGTAAATTTTTTATTTAAAAATAAATCTAATAAATAAAATTAGTCTCTAGTAGACAACGGGTATTAGTTAGGTTTATTATTCTGTACATGAAGTTATGCAATCAAATAGTTTGTATAGGTTGTATTGTCACATCAATAATGTCGTCTTCGTTTGACTGATTGAGGATAATTAGGTATAAATTCGAATTACTAGTTAAATTACATTTTTCATTTCTATAACAGAAGATAGATCTTTAGGCAATTCAAAGATAGGAGACAAAAGTAACAAATTTTATTTGATCATTAAATTGAATAAAAACGTACGGTATATCAATAGGAGACGTCTAATAGGTACAAGAAGTACACCAACTATGTCGCCAGGACAGATCAATTTTTTATTATTGACACTACAGTCTAATAAAATATGGAGTACGTGGCTATTTAATATTTCAATTGAGATGAAAGAATTACCGCTGCAGTAGATCAAAAACGCCGATACCAATAAATGCAAATGATGTATATGCTGTTATTTACATTCAAGACTATTGAAAGCCGACTTTAATTTGAACCGACATTATTAAGTAACAATAGAAGTGTTCCTAACACGGTAATAATTCCCTTTCATCTTACATATGATCTACATAATTGCATGATGTGCGATATACTAATCAAAATGAATACTTATTCCGATTATAGAGTTCCTATACTGTCTAAGGATCAACTAACAAATAGCCGGTTTCGTAACTATTTTAATAATCGATACAAAATTGAGATTGAATATTAAACATGCATTCCTCTCGATAATACTTCCACCTCGAGTTCTTAATTGCGTTTAGTCGTATTTATTCAATATTGCTTTATCTTTAATTTGCTTAATCTGATGCCTAAACCTAATTATAGTTTGAGGTGATAGGTGAAATAGATTCAAATAACCCATAACATCATTCGAATAATGAAGAACAATGAATAATTGTCTCAATAAAATGATACCGCTATGATCATAACAGGATGAATAGTTTATTGTTTCTTATAGCATAAGGGCAACAAACGCATGCCATGACTACAGTTAGTGTAGTTTTACTTACGAATCGTGATACATGTACAAAAAGTTTGCAGGGATCATGATCGAAGGGAAGCAAATTTCATTAATAATTAGTTGATTATATTGATGATTAACTCGTAAAGTATTTATTTCAAGCCATATACCATAGCAAGACTTAATACAATCATATCATGATCAATGCTACTTGGTCCTAACAATTCCATACAACTCTTTTTAAATTCATAGAAATCATTTTCATGTTGTCTTGTAGAAGAGAGATCGGAGGGAGAGGGAAATTTATTTGAGGCGTTAACTGAATAAATAGAGCGTATAAATAGATTTCTCTTCAAAGGTTTTTTTTAACATTATTTGAAATGTCTCAAGTTGTACGTACTATTTCATTCCATCTATCTTTTTGAAACATGAAATATCATACTTGATTCATAGATGTAATAAATTATAATAATAGCTCGAGAAACTAGTTGAAATTTTAACTATTAAATTAATGGTTAGTTCTTGCATTAGTATTATGCAAAAATGATGATAATATCCAACTTGAAAACGTATCATGTTTGATACTACAAGAAATCATATAATTCTGTTCATTTATCCAAGTTAACACCTCCCAGACAATGATTATAAACATGACCGATTAGACATAAAAGATGCCGCTCGAGCCCATCATATCAATACTTGATAATGTGATTTCAATAGAAACTCTACCCTCAGTTCACAGGTAATCGCTATTCCTTGATGTTTTATAGCGTCCATCGTATAAATTAAAGTTAAAATTTCAAGATTTCCACTTCTGGGCGATGATGTCATGATAATCAAGCCATCCAATCGATTTAAATGCATTAATTTGTTTTCTTTACTTCTGAATAACTACTTTATTAATGTAAACAGGATTAGACTATTTTTATCCACTATACTCAGTGACAACCCTATTACTGTAAATGATGCATAAGCAATAAGATTTAGTTTTATCATCTAAACAGGATTAGACTATTTTTATCCACTATACTCAGTGACAACCCTATTACTGTAAATGATGCATAAGCAATAAGATTTAGTTTTTATCATCATGATCCAAATTGATGTGTAGTCATATCATTTCTTTCGTAAACATCTACAGTGGATCGATGAAAAATTTCACGTAGGGTATGGATTATTTTTGTACGCGCTGTCCTGTTGATTGTTGTGTATTGAAATGAGTGAACTTATTATGTTTTAATGTCAATCAAACAAGAAAATGACCAAAAAAATGAATTAAATAATAATGTTAATTCGATGTCTTTGTTTATATTTATTATCTTCCCCCTTGATCATTCAATCAGCTCGTTGAAACTTAAGTAAAGAATTAATTCCAGGGGCATGATATAAAAGTCCCGATATCGAATTCGTTGCATCACTTTACATTACATCGATTATAGCGCAAGCAAGTCACTACATATTTTTTTACTCGAAGTGTTTCACTTTTTCAAGCTGATAAGATAATTATCAAGTCCGATCGATACTATTCATACCGATTTCCTGATTGCATCTGAACTGAATAAGGAAGTTAATCATTTAACTTAGAAAAATTAATACCATCGTCAATTTTTCAATTATCCAATCTAGCGGCTCACAAGCTAAAGACAGGCAAAATGATGAAATGTTTTGCAGTTGAATTGCAAGCTAACGAATATCTTGGCAATAAACTGGTTGTGGAAAGAGTTAGATGTGAATGCCAATTGTTGGGTACAGTTTGTAGAGTTCGATTGGTACAAACTTTTATTAACAAGGGGCAAGCACCCATCCAAACGGCTTACATAAGTTGCTTACGAAATGATATTTCAATTTGCGAATTTTCTTCGTATAATTCCTCAACACGGCAATACTTATCATCCAGAGCATTGGAAAAAAATACTTTCGATCGAGGTAAGCTGCATACTGCTTTATCCAGATTTAATAAACTCCACAAGAAATGTATGCATCTACAGAAAAATGTAATTATTACAGTATTAGATGATGCATAGTACACATTGGTAAATTGTTGCACTAAATGTTAGGAGTCTTCTACACAGTCTGGTAATTTAAGGCTAAATTGAAGTGATGTTGAAAATTATAGAAAAGTTCCTTCAAAATCTTTGAAACAGCTCAAAATTAAATATAAATTGAACCGTTGCATTTTAGACATAAACCACATCATTTTCGATTTGATTAATATCGTAATATCTCGGCTACTGCCATATTGACCAGATCATATGTGAATAAGTCTTGCTACTTCCATTTATGGATTAGTTTATCAAATATCTTAATCATTGATAATTGTATTAAGAATTGATCACTTTATCACACTATGTACCGGTATTTCAAGTAGTTAATCATCTTGATACGTGGATCAAATTCAAAATTACTTACCGTGCGTTACATTTCATATAATCACTACCTCTAATAGCAAATATATACAGTTATATTTACAAATAATCCTATTAAATCTGCACATTTGAAAGCATTTACTTTGCCTTCCTATGTCAAATTTATTTAATCGGCTCTTTTTATTCGTCATTCCTTTCCTATAGACTTTGATTAGTATAGTAAAATAGCAATGTGTGTGTTGACTTCCGCATTGACAAGGGGCAACTGTTATACTACATATTTGCATAATTCTGCGGTACAAAACAACAGCAGCCATTTACATACATCAACATATATACTGCATATTAATGGATAGTAAGTCTACAATAGCTGCTTCTCCTTCATGATTGTCAATATATAATGTAATTTAGCTTTTCATTATAAAATTTCATATTATCTCCTCCTGATTGACTTCATTCAAATGATAGTCTATTATATGATAATTATTGTTCACGTTGATTAAAGCATGTATTGTCTATATAGGATTCTCCTGGCTACATAACGATGAACAGTTAATAAAAAAATTGGAAAAAGTGTTCGATTGTTCTTCCTTCGGTCAGCTTTTTACGGCCCAAGTAAGTTCCAACTAAATTGTTATCATACTCTCTATATGCTAGTGTATGCATTCAATAAGTATGAAATCCTTTCTAGTCAATTAGCTATATAGTATGACTAGTTATACAGTAGATTCAAGCCTTTTCGAGCTATTTTTAATTCGTCCTTTCTTAACGATCCACTAATAATATCGAACTGACATATTTAAGTACTTGCTTCAATTTATTATAATGTCTTGATCCATGCGATATAAATCTAATTATACGTGTGTATTATTATTTCTTATTGTGGTCGAAGGCTTCCACTATTCAGTCCTTAATTTGTTGCTTCAAAATTGCAGCTACTGCATTGTTTAATAATATGAAATATAGCCAGTAACTTAATATACTGTAGAGCAAACTTAATCAAGATTAATATCATAAGCAAGAGGGCAGTGCATAGTTTGTAACCTTACTCTGGCTTAATGTGAGTCACCACGTCGCCTTATGCAAAATAGAATCACGAATTGGTTAGAAAATAACCTCAAATCTCTGACCTTAATGAAATCACCTCTTAATATATTTTTAATTACTCTTCAATAAAAAAAGATCTTAATTTGTGCTAAAATCAAGGCATAGGCTTCAACGTTTAATCGAGTTTTGAAGATTACTTTCAAATACCTATAATCATCATTTGTAGTAATGTTAATTTTATATTCCCTTACATGCTCGGTAGTTAGCGGATAAGATTTATAAATTTGTAATAATGAATCATCCAATTCGAATTTTCAATGTCTTATTGATGAGTTGGAATATAGTTAAATGATTAATTGTTAAAACTTAAAGGTAATAAAGTTGTTATTTAAGAGCTGTCAAGGTGAATTAATATTATTCTTCTTCGTCATGTTTATATTAGACTGGCAGCGTAAATGGTGGAGAATGCATTGATGTTAGCTTAACTTACGTCACCGAATGCCGTGTTAAAAATAACGAGATTAAATTTACTCCACCTAAAATTGTTAATAATTATTGCGATGAAGATCCCTTCCACTATGACATTGATATTGACCTGTTACAACCCTTAAGAATATCTAATATTGCCTCACCTACTCATGATATTGCAGTAAGTAATATACACATGCGTATTGCACTGCATCATAGTAATGACGATATTATCTCTACCTTTAGCTTGTGTTTATTCAGGAGATTACTGTTTACACTATTTATGCGGTAGTGAAATCATTTTTCTTATCCATACTGATAGAAATGTGGAAGTGATCAGACACACTGTCTCGATAAAATGAGATAAATCTTCTACTAGATTATTTTATAGAGTAAATAATTTTCGATATCACGTATGCACGTTTGCCTGTGCAATTGATGCTGACAGTATCATTAGGCTCATAGATGTCTACGGTATAAGATTGATTTATCAGCGGCTAATTTTAGAATAAATTAATAATCTCAACAGACAAAATTTTACAATGGAGTAACTCGGATCGTTGTTGACTATCAGCAGCCGAAAAATTGTGGCCAAGACATCCTACTCCAATACGAAGAGGAAGAATTGCCTAATAGTGGACATTATCCCAACGTTCTACTATGCGCTAATGGTGGCGAAGAGTCCAATAATGTCAGCAATAAAGTCGCTATTATGGCTGTTTTCCCGCCTCTAAAACCTAATAATGCAATGGTAATAAAACTATTTTATATGTTTTTTATTTATCTATTTACTATAAAGTAACCGAATCATCTACTGCATTAGAATTTGTCTCGCCTATTTACAGTATAATAATGAAATATTGCTATTTTTAATTGTTTTTTAGATTGCCAGAGACCTGTTCATAGAATGGGGCAACTTAAATGTTAAAACCCAATGTAAGATATAGTTGAAGTAAATAAAATCAGATTCACAAGCATTTATGACTAATTGACGAAAAGAATGCAGTTTGTACTTTACTGCTCATTAATATAATAACACTATTTTTACATTTATTTTCTCAGGTCCATCCCCGAAGCACCTATTAAGTGCTATACATGCTACTAATTACACCAGTATCTATGCGCTCCTTGACGATGATAATTTTCCAGATGGAGATATCTACCTCAAAGGCTATTGCAATAATGAAGAGGTAGAAAAAGATATAGCATACGTAAATTGGCGTTTACAGCAGTATTCTTTATAAAATATAGATATTCTTGGCTATTCAGGTAATAATTTAAAAATTCTTACACTATAACCTAAAAATCTAGGTTGTCATTAGGCCTTCGTACTGTGTCTGTACAACTCTTTCATTGGCAGAAGATGCTATTCACGTTATGATTTGTAACTGGTTGTATCGCGAAATGGACGCTATGAATAATACGGACGTCGATGAACTCTATCAACTAATGACTGAGTCAGTTGATAATTTTAATCACTAAGTAACATCTAATCAAATTTGATACTAACGTAAAGTGCATTATTAGTATTGGCGAAAGTTGGAAAGGATTGCTTTTCGTTAATTCTTGCATTAACTAACAAGCTACTATATATCTACTTTCTCTTTACCATAGCAATAATGTCTTGAGTTCAGTTACAAAATATGTGGTAGAAGAGAATAACTATCAAATGTGTGTTGCTAACTTACAAAATATCGCTTCTAATGCTGTCCGACAGTCTATTGGACAAAATATGAAGGTAATGGATTAATCACAGTTTCTATGCATACATTTAGCTTATTACCAAGAAAATTCGTTCAAAATTTTTACTTTGAGTGTACCGATATTAATTCCAAATTATTTGGTATAGGAAAATAACATGCAACAAAAGAAGCGCAAATTAACTCCAACAGCAGGATCATCAGGAAAGACCAAAGGTAATCTGTCATTATAAGAGAATAAGTAGGATCATATCATTCGTAGACCTAGATTACTGGACGCCGTTATTCGAAAAATTTGGAGCTAGCCAAATTTGATAACATTGAATCGATTAAAATTTATAGACTTTATACTCAATAATTTAGTAATAAAGGTCTTTGTTGTAACTGAGCCAATTTAGCGATTGTAAATTGATCCAAAAAATCTATTTTACTTCCTTTCAGTTTCCTCCATTCCATCGTTCGATCGAGCTAGCTTTGAAAATGATGATATGATCATAGAAGAAGAAGAGTCGGAAGAATTAGAACAAGAAGATGTCTTTAAATATAAAAACGGCACGGAAGAAATCACTGTCCAGATAAATAATGTACGTTTAATACTCTTCAGATTAATAGATATCGAAATAACTGATATATATTATGAAGTAGCATTTTGGGGTTAATTGAGACCGTGATAATTGATAAAGATATTATTCCTTCTGATAATTATCTTGTTATGCTATTAGATCGAAAATAAAGCAGTCGAATCCAACACTAAAGCTAGAAAGAGAAGGCCTACGCCTGTTCCACGATATCAACAATTTTCCGGTATGAATAGTAACGTTTATTTACTGACATTACCCTTTGAATTTATTATGATATTATGGGTATTAATATCCAATAAAAGTTGTCTTACCTTAAATTATTATTCTTAACTATAGCTGATTATCAACGAATGACAATCATCAGGATGCCTTCCCTAAGCGAAGATTAAAAAATGGAACCTGTATAGTCCAAATATCAGACTTTTATACTGTAATTATTGCAATTTCCATTGAAATCATCTTATCTATGATAAATTATGAAATTACTCTTTTAAACGAAAATATAAGAATACAGATTTAAAAATTAACATATATCTTTATTTGATAGCAGTCAAAAGATTAATATAACAAAATTTTAATTCGTTTGTCATATCGATTTTCTTCAAAAATTGCCCTAATTAACAGATTACAATAAAATCTAATGACTGCTTTTAGTTATAGTATAAAATCTATTTTTTTCACTAAAGTCATTTGTAACTATTTTATTGAAGATGTAGATAATTACTGTAGGTACTCTCCGTAATGTGAGCTTTCAGACTTAAAAACATTTTTAATAATTTGCTTATCTTATTGTAATGTAGAATAACTTATTGCTGCTAATATACTCTGATATTTAGGAGTCTATTAAAATATATAACATCTTCTTATACTTCTTCATCTACATCTATAATGCATATGTACGGTATTTTCCTCAACTTCGATATATTTTTAGCTTTTTTGAATACTATTCGTAATCAGCTTGAACTATTATCCGTAAATTACACGATCATTATCTGTAATATTTATTACAATACAGGCTAGCCTAACGAGTAAATTCAATTTCAAGATTCAAATTTTGGTGTTATTATCTTTATTACCGGGTATAATGCAGTATGTGATGTGCACCGATAAAGCAAATGATCTTAGCTGATAGTATGATATAACTACTATTATGGTAATAGAATTAGATAATTAAGATATAAACAGACGTAAGACAGCTACTCATTAGAAATTGGGCGAATATTTAGATATAATACTTTCAACTTAAGAGTTTGTAGATAGATACAAATAGGCTTATAAACCTACAGACTATTAACACTTTCTAGCTATGAAAATCTACCGTACAAAATGTTTTGATTGTAAGTAAATGTAGTTGATGATAGAAGAATGGAGTATCAGTTCCCTCACGAAGATTGCTCTGCTAGTAATTCAGAAGCAGGAAGTTGTTTCTCTAGCATAAGTTTAGGTATCAGGTGAAGATCGATTAACGATTCATAGTATCGTTTCAAATCGGTTATGGTATTATTACCAATTTTTATGGCGGGAACACTAGTTGTTTGGGATAAATGTTATGCATACGCACTGTATAACCATTAAATAAATGTTCAGAATTGGTATCAAAGCGATCTCACAAATAGATAAACTAATTATAATTATTAGACTTGGGTTTTTTCAACAGACTTTCATAATTATTAACGACTTTACCACTATTGGAATTCTGTGCTGTGATTGCTACCCCCGAGGTATTTTATGATATCATAAGCTACTGATATTGGTAGTATGCAATTATTCTGTCATTACAGTAATGTTAATTTACCGAATACATTCTAATTTTGCACACTATGTACTGGTATATCTGACAGATAAAGATGCTAGTTGTTCAAGAAATTTCCGTATTAATGATACAAAAACTAACAGCTACTCTCCATACATTTTATCAAATCTTATAATAACGTACACCTATTTCGAAGTATCATAAAGATTTAAATTTCTGGATACTTTCTCCGTAATCTCCTCAATGATACAGTATCAAATTATCAACGATGAAGATTAAAGATTATAAAGCATTTATTGGTATTAATTGAAGGATTACTTATTACTAGCTGCTAATACTAGCGGTATTTAAGCAAGCCTGACAAAGTATTACGAGATTGGTCCCTCATAAAAGAGGCCTTCCATATCAGTTCAGTTAATATATGTTATACTCGTATGATGACATTAATAGCGAGATTAAGCTTAGGATATTATTTATACACATAAATCCTATTGAAATATATTCTTTGTAGATATTTGAGCTGATATTTTATGTGAACTTTTTTCTAGATGCTGAATGTTTAAAATTCTAACACATTAGTAGTTTAGCTACTAATGATTTGCATGCTGATATGCTATGACTATCTACTGACTATAGAATCTAATCATGATTGGAGTAATTCACTTATTTAATATTGAATTAGTTTATCAATAAATTATTTCAAGATTTTTCTCTAATAGCATATAACTCAACAACATCGATATCACAATAAAGTTACGCAATATATCAATGCGTATCTTATAGATTATAGTTCACGATCACTTTATAGATCTTTATCAGAAGAGGATATTTATTTATCGAGATCGTAAATCATTATTATAAAAATACACCAAAATACATAAAGGATGTGCATTATTAGTAATGCTGAAAATGATTATTATTGGGATGTGCAACGGAGCGTCGTAGTATCTACGAATCTTTTCAGAATTGGAATTTTGAGATCAGCTTTAAGTTGCTATATGTTTTAATATACCTTTCATATACTTTATAGGATTCTAATTTCTTTATAGCATTCATCTATTTAGGATATCATAACATATGAGATATTGGACTAGCTCCATCGCTTAAAGACAGAATAGCAATAATAGGTTGTGATAAAAAGTAACGAACGATTAAGCTGTAAATGATAAAGTAGCTCAATTGCGATTGAGGAATATTTTTTTTCGATGTATGTAATGAATAAATCAAATAAGATGAATATGGTCAACAGCTTTACATATTTGAATCAAATTAGGATCCGAAGTAAAAGATTTAAATGTACATTATTTTTTTATTGAATGGTCAGTTATATTTCAGGTATTTTAAACTTCTTTGTAGTCTCTCGATATCCGCATCAAGAATGGCTAATTCTTTTCTGAATTCAACTTCATCTTTAGAGGATACGGCAGACGTAGCATCATCGTCCATTTGATCGAGAACAGCATCATGACTTTGCTGATAATTTCTATCTTTTAATTCGGCATAATCATTATTTTCCTGATTTAATAAAACATTTTCGGTGCTTTCCGACTGATAGCGATGATTGTTATTGTCTAATGCGTCATAGATAGGCTTCTTCTTTTCAGGTGTTTTATTTGTAGCAACGATGATTTCAGAATGTTGATCAGGATTCATGCCATTATTTTGCATTATATATTCCTGGCCACCTTGATCTCTCTTTGGCGAATTATGTTGCAATGTTCGGTAAGGGTTAAATTTCGAACCGGGTGATGTTGATTTGGTGCTAACGGTATCACTACAGAGAGGAAGAAATGAAATTAGTTACTATAATATATAAAATCAATCTAATGTTGGTTACATATTTGTATTGACGTAACTTATATGAACCTAAGCCTCTATTTTATCAAAAATGTTTGATTTTAACCTGACTTGCAGTCCGGATGTTGTCGGTAAATATGATTCAAGACTGTAATTATGATTTACTCCCGATATTGGTTCTTGTTTTTTAATTTCTGCATCGTAACTATAGCTGTTCAGTTGGTTTTTGTTTTGGGTCTTTTCCATTGTGGTTACCAAACCAGTCATCATTTCTTTCGTTCTCCTATGGAAATAATAGATTTTCACTCCTTCAAGCACTACTAATCTTGTAAATATCGAAACAATGTCTAAATTATAACAATAATTAACATGATCATGACGTACAACCTTGAAATATCTTCATGTCTATTTATTTCAGCTTCTTTCTGTTGAACAGCAATTGATAAAATTTGTTGTTCTTTCTTTGCCGCTTCTAAAGACATCTGAGTTACTTCTAAGCGTGCCGTTAGTTCTGCTCTTTCTGCTTCCATCTGCAGTACCTTCTTTTCCAATCTTTCTTCCTTTTGCCTGTATTGGTTTTCCTACGATATTGTAAATATTTTCATTCAACAAGGTTAATTATTCAAGAATATACTACTATTGTCTATACTTATGAGATAACTATTCGCTAAGTTAGTAACCCTTTTATTAATCTAAAATATCTGCACTAAGTATAGATTAATTATTGTTACCTGAATCACTAATTGATTTTTCAGTTTTTCAATATCATCACGAAACTCTTCTGCTGTCTATTGCAATTATTTTGGTTCAGAGATACGAACATGAAATTAATTATTTCAATTTAGTGATAAGATCTCGGAACTGCTATCTAGCAATCATTTAGTCATGATGATAACTTTAATAAATAATAAAGTATATAACGAAAAGCAATAAAAAAATCCGAACTATAAACGCAATAAATCTGTTTGTTCTATCGTAATGATTATGATTTCAGTTGTCCAGGATTTAATTACGCATAGGAAAGTTAGCATATGAGTGAGCTTCTCTTACCCTTGACAACTGACTGATTGTTTCCTTATGATGTAATACAGACTGTCTCTCATTCAGTAACCCTTCCTGGCTTTTTTTCACCTGTTCCTCTAGAAGGTTATTCATCGTTTGCAACGATTTAACTGTTTATTACGAATACAGATAAAACCATAACCTAATTAATCACTTATTCAATTATGCAAGCAACTGTTGCTAAGCTAGCATAGATGATTTCTACCTTAGACTACTAGAAGAAGACCTTCTAGTAATCCATGATTCTACTTATATACGATGTGCAATTACGTGGATTTATTATTATAGTGAAATATTAATTTTCGAAAGCATAATTCCCCTTATTGAGTTTATAATCTTGGCATGCATGTATTGGAAAAATATGAATCTTGCTTCTTACTTTGATATTCCTGATCTTGTCTTTTTTCATTTTCCTTGACAGTTTCTTCGAATTCTTTTAATGTATTTTGAGACAGTCTCAGTTGCCTAAGATAATATTAATAGTTCATAATTTTAGTCCTTCAACAATTCGTCCGTTCTTTCCTTATAATTATGATTTGGATATATCATTGGTCTAGCTTGATCTTGTATGAATCTCGCTATAAGTATTACTTTACTTTATTGACGTTTAATAGTTGAGTATTCATTAAAAACAGTCTTTTTATTAAGTTAAGGATTATTAACCAGTTGAAAAGTTTCATAATTAAATAGAATGGGAATAAGGATAGTAATATCTCTCTGTAATAAGAATGTGATTTACAGTACCACTAGAAATTTAGAATAGTACCATATTCCACAACTGTAACTGTCTGTTACCTCCTTAATCGGCTATTATCGCAGTAGACAGATTGTAAATATTGATCAGCTTTATCGTAATCCTTTAATTCCGATTGAATCTTGATTATGTATTTATCAATTTCATTAATGTTGTTTTTCGCTTTGGTCATGCCTTAAAAAATATTTAAAATATAAATGGTGATGGCTATTACTGATTAATTTGAGTAAATTATGATCTACAATTTTTAGATGGAAATGTGGCATTAATTTAGATTATAGCGAATGTTTTGAATTTTGTAATGATATATTCTAATCCTTAGTCTATCTGCCGCGGCTGAACTGAACAGTTTTGTTAGTAGCTGATAATAATTAATACGAGCATATCAGAACATTAAATACTTACTATAAGATCGAATATTATTGCGAAGATAGTTAAGCTGTTTCTGCAGACTTTTAACATGGCCAGTGCATGCTTTGCTATCAAGACGTTGAGGTGGAGGAGATGGTGGAGGGTTATATGGTGATATAGCTGCAATGCTATTGTTAAATCCATTTCTATCATCATTGATTGGATCTTGATTAGCTTGAAGAATGTCTAGATTGTAATAGGTAGGAAAATTTTATTAGGCAAATAGCTATCGTGTCGAGTACGTATCTTGTAAACTAACCTTTTTTTGTCCTATGTGCTGGTGTAGCGTGCTCATTAGGATATGAAACGGGATGTGATTGAGTATTTGAGCGGTCTTCGAATTGTTTTTGCTCATTTTCTATTCGAGACTGCTTACGTTGTAGGTCAGCCAGTTGCTTCCTTAGAATTGCCTCCTTCCGTAATTGTTTATTTAATAACTCTTGTTGTCGTTGTAATAGTTCGAATGATATAAGCGGTTTAGGATCTTCCACGTCAGTAGAATGGATATTGTCACGAATTTTGCCTGCGTATATTGGTAAAGAAGATTTTTAACAGTTACAACCTTTTACAGTACAAAGTTGTGTGCACTTGAATCACGTTTTTATTTATAACCGTTAGATAATCTTGAAGCATGATATCGCATTATTCATTCAGATTAATTGATAATTGATATGATGCTTATATATTAGTGAATTAGTGTTACTGTTAGATATACATAGATGCCCGTATAGTCAATTTTTAACCTGATGGCACACGGCTCTCTTGAGCTAGTATGGCAGATAATAAAGACTCGCGTGTCTCTGATTCTTTTTCGCTATGTTTCATCTAGAAATGAATTAAAAGAATTCTTTGCAATAGCAAGATATTCATCATCTTGGAAATCAGTATTGTAAGTAGTTAGGAATGATATTGTAAGTGTACTGTGTGCTGATTATATATAGTTATAATTAGCTAATACTCTATTCCTAAATCAACCACAGAATACAACTGATAGGTTGAGTAAGTTGCGCAGCTGAACCACAATATCGTTGGTATCCATCTAACGGTTTATGGCGAATAATAAATTTGTGTACCTGATCATCAGTGTCCGTCGAATATAAAGAGTAAGAATCTTCCGCTATCAAATCTTTGGGGTTTTTAGTAGGAAATCTATTAATCGATGTAAAAATGATAGTAAAACATTTAATTTGTGATCAATGCGAAGTTTATAGTCAAGAATTAGACTTATCCCGAGCATACTTTGCTTTATTCGTACTGGAAATTTCTCTGTCATTTTGTGCTGCCTATTTTGCATATCAGAAGGACATACATTTAAGATAGTTAGCATGATACTACGTTGTTAGCTACGTATCATGTACAAGTACTGTATTAGTCACTTTCAAAATTTAGAAATGAAAAGTTTCAGCTTTCGAATACAAATTATTGGGTATAAAGTTTTAACGTCAGTTGATTAGATTGCAAATAAATTCTGATAGTAATCTATTGTGTAGTAGTATCGGTTATAATTTGTGATTCAGTATTTATTTGATACTGTTACTATTGACAATCTCGTCTGATATAGGTTCATCAGCGAAGTAATTTACGTCAGGGCAAACTCACAAAATTTCTGCAGCTATTCCAATGGTATTAATTTTTTGTATAAAAGTATTATAACGGATTGTCTTTTAAAACATACTGTACAGGAATGGCTATTAAATATAATTTATCACAGTAGAGGTGACGATATTAATATTTGTATTTTGCAATTGGGACGTGATATGAAAGATAACGATTATACAGTATAATACCAATATAGTGAGAATTTAAAATAGGATTGTAACTCTATGTCTAGATTATAATTAATTTATAAGAGTAATATTAAATAACTTATAGATAGTTATAGTTATGAATACTAGCTACAATATTATAACAAACGACATTTTGAATGATGACGATTATTCGTATGTACTACGGGAGTATAGGTACTGTATTTCTAGCTATGACTAGGTACTTAGACGTGCAAATTCATTCCAACTACTTAAAATGGAAAAGAATATTTTTATTTATAAATTTTTTTTGATTATTTAAAATCATTGCCACGGTACCTTCCTCTTATTCCTGTAGCGCCTTAATGACATCATTAATTTACTTCCATTGAATGTTATTTTAGTTAATAAGTGTCAGTGACCAAGATATTTCACTATAAACATGCATAGAAAATAACTCCAGCCTTTGACTGTTGGATGTCGGTAGAAGTTGCGCGCCAACTTTTTCTCGCGATTTTCGGATGTACTTTAAATGCTAACTAATGCTAATGAGTGATACTATCTATTGTCTAGCGATGTTTCCTCAATAGAATCTAATAGAAAACAAAGACATTAAGTCTAATGAATAGGTACAGTAACCATTTATGAATGGTTCAAACTTGATCCATTGTGAATTATTGATTTTTAATAAATGCTACACAAATAGGATTATTATCTTGCGTTGGTATCATTGTTATTTATGAGAAAACAGAGCCGTAGATTAGGTGCTATTGAGAAAAGTAGATGGTGCAGTGTCTTAGTTAATAATAATATGCTGTAGCTTATAGTTTACTGTATAGTGTTTAATATTAGCAAATTTATTTATGTTGGAATCCGTTTATTTTAATGCTATCGAACATTTTTTAAACCATGGCATTAATTGCATTGCAATGTTGATTTGATAACTTATTTCAGTCCTATGATTATATGCCAAGATCAGGCAAGATACGTGCATATACGCTACAATTTGGCAATTATGACGAACAATTTAGCGATAACTAAAAATTATTGTACATTATACACTGTAGCTATAAATTGTGGATCATTGATTACTGGTATATTCTTATAGCAAAATATCTTCGATCTATGCATACTGTCTGTAGCTTGCCGTAATTTAAATTTCAAATAACTATTTTATGAACTAATCACCACACTCTTAAACGATTACTAAAGATACATTAGACAGATTCGTTAATCTTAAAATCGAATTAATTGTGATTAGATTTAGAGTTATTACCAGGTCAATAGATATTTTGTTGGGCTTTATAATATTTATTGGTGAATTAACAAAAATCTTACTATTACCGTAGTAACATCCAAATATACTTAATTAGCCTGAAATGTATTGATGGAATTTCGAAGAGTGTATATATACTTTTGGATATAGCTATACACGTAGGTATGGGTGTAGGTATTATTAATAGTAGAGACGATGATACAATCTAGTAGATATTATGACCCTCGTTGTAAACGTAAAATATTTTTAATTTAAATCAATTGATTTTACAATGTAATAAGTCAGTCAGATAGCTCGCGTGACTTTTATTAATGACAAGCTTGCACAGTATGCAACAGAGTTTATTTGTTTGATATTTCTATAATTAAATTATAGAAGATATAGCAATGTAGCTGCTACATAACAGTATGTTGTTCATCATTATGATAGGCTTTTTGTAAATACATATTTGCGGGGATTGGTGGTAACTGTCTACATGTAAATGTATGTATTAGTTGATACTAGTATACATATAATAAGTATAATTTTTGGCAGCAGCTGTTTGGTAGTTAATTAGAAGAAGGACTCGGTGATATTTGGTGTTTACACTTCTGTTTGTTTCTTCAGAAAATAGAACAACGCATTGTATCCTGTGTGTAGTCTTAAACTAATGCATCCGTATTTTACGAAGGCTGAAGAACTAGCTAATTATGTATCACATTCAATTATGGTGCTATTCTACATTAGTGTTAAAGCCTGACGAAAATATTATAATTCGTCAGTGGTAACTGCGGGGAAGTCCCTTGTGACTACCATGCTCTGCGTGCGATATTCACACGCTATGGTATACTACGTGCAATGCACCATCATCATTCGCTCGATCATCTCATCGTAATGTTAATTTTGCATCAGCATAAGGTACATTATCATTCGATGAACCATCTCATCGCATAGTGTACTTGTACTGTATCGTAACGTTGAATTCAATTCACTTTTGGGCATCTCATGGTTGGATACATGTATTCCTAAGGGATATAGCAGTTTCTTGAAATATGCTAAGAAAGGATGGCGAGAAATAACCGTACAGTACAGTACAGTACTGTGTGTTCGCGTTAAAACTCCACTTATAGGTGTGCTAGTCTACTAGATACTGTTTAAGTTTACGATTTCCTATCGCTTTCTGATGTAATATGCATGTATTAACATTTTCTGCATGTGTTAATTACTGCTCCGTTTCACATGTGTTTTCAGTTTCAAAATGTGGTGTGATATATACCAGGTGGATGGATAGATATACCAGTCAATTAGTACGTGGGTGGTTGTATGCTTATTTTTTAGTTGATTATCATTGATTACCTAAGTCAATTTACCATATTCTAAATAACGTAGGAATTCATCATACGAGCATCCAAATACAGTACTGTACTACAGCGACTTCTATTTCATAGTTACCTGCTATACTATGATATAGCTAAATACTTCCATAGAGCAATAAAATCTGTAATATGATTAACATTATACTTCAAGCACCCTATACAGTACAGTAGATGTTTTTACCTGAAAAATAACCAACTACCCCAGATGACGGTACAGTGCATGGTAGCGAGTTAGCGATATTATTTGTAACTATACACTGTACACTGTGTACAGTACGTCAATCTTCCGTTTAAAGAAGTGTTATAATGCAGATTGCAGAGCTTTGGCTTATTTTAACTACATTACAACACACGATCGGAGATGGTTAGTGAGAGAACCATGTATAGCGATTTTAAAATTTATTTGTGTACATTTCCAATAAATAGTTTGTACGTAAATTCCGTAATCATCAAGAAAGGTTTAACTGAAAGCTAAATATAGTATCATGTCATAAATGATGTAATGGTGATAAAGCTCGTGACTAGCGACCGCGCATATGGTAGGAATCAGCGTTGCGACTCAAAATAGAGTCACTGTGTAGTTCTTGAACTGCAGGACGAGTGACACCAGTAGACTCGTAGTCCATTACGTGATGAAGTACTTTACTGTACTGTACTGTACAGTACGGTGATGGTACGCCATACAGTATAAAGTACTGTAAAAGGGCACGGATGGATTGTTTTTTCCATTTTTGTACTGTACACTGTACTGCACAGCCTGACGTCATGCTAACCCGTAGTACACTACAGTATGTACTGTACTGTACAGTACACTAGTGGTCTACAGTGCATTACACAGACAATTAAAGACAATACAGTACTTCATTATGTTCTCGGGGAGCCTGCAGCGACTTTATAAATCGTTACACACAATCTTTTTATTGTATGTTGATGCGCAGAGGCATTCAGTAAAGTAACTTACTAAAAAACAATAGTTCTCGTTGAAAGACGTTTTCTACAATCGACTTTTCTCGCCATTTTAGTGCCGCAAGTTTCACCCCTTCAGTATTTTTCTTCCTTTTAGTTTGCTTTTAAATTTTGCTCTTATAATCTGAAACAAAATGGCTCTAGACGGTAGCGCTAAATGTATCAAACTTCTTCTTTTCGCTTTCAACGTCGTATTTTTTGTAAGTATAAAAATTTTAAGCTTGTTTTGCGGTCATTTTATGTTAGTTCAGGAAAGTTTTGCTTTCGACTTGATGGGTGCGTTCTCGAAGAAATTCAGGGCGTCCAATTTGATAAATTATCTTCGTAATTATTGTTATTAACTGAAATACACTTCGTATTCATGTTTAATCTTGTAATTGTTAAATGGCTTAACCTCAAGGATCACAATTGTAGTGCGTTGTCTTGATTTACCTGCACGTTGATTCACCAGTTAATTTGCTTTTACTGCAGTTGATTATTACTATTTTATAACGGATATACTGCACATTTGCGTCGGTAGTAAATTGCATACGAGTCCCCTCTACAGTAGTAACGTAAGAAATTGACTTTTTTTTACGCTTTGGTAAGGCTTCCGACAATTTGAAACGATTGGGTAGATGTTTCTATACGCTTGGATAGAATCATCCTTTAGATTTATTAAGAGTAGAAATTGATCGTTCTCCCGTGTGCAGTGAAGTAGTTATCGATTGTGTGCATCAGTTCCAAGCTACTAAGCCATTTCCGATTTTCGATGCTACTGATTACTGTAAATTAATATTAGTTCCTTAATTTTTAAAATCTAAAATCTATTAGTGTTTAATATTACAGTAAAGTCGAGTTTACTTCTACCGCGAATGATTCAGAGACAGCCTTGATCAATGAAAAGCAAGCCTGCATGTCTACGACCTTTTTTTGTAGCTTGTACAGTGCGTAGATTCAACATTCAACATATCGTAAATGATTAATTGGTTGTAATTTTTTTAGTTTTTATCACATTTAACTGGGAGACAACCGTTACTGTAGTCTGTAGCTCTTCTATTAGATTAGAAATATGCGAATACCAGAATTTTGAAAATGCAGACGATGCATTAGTATGGGTGCCGTCTGTCGACCATTTATGAGATTTTTTATCCGCTTTGTATCATCTCGTACGTTGTACCAGATAACGTTATGATCAATTAATTCTTGATCCTAGTTCTTTTAAGTTAATTCGTAGTAATTACAGGTTAAGGTCTAGTGCATAGATTTAGAGAGTTCATGAAATACTTGTAGCTATGTATGTAGAATTAAAACGGATTATTTTAACAGTCAACCCTACAGTTTAAAAAAGCTATCGAGAACAGATGGGGGAGTGTGTACGAATTCGTTAGAAATTCTCCTAAGCAAAAAGAAAACTCGTGTAGCTCCAGTAACTGTACTGTATTAATATACAGTCATGCGCTGTACAGTATTGTATGTAACACAATTTAACACTACATAATAACACTGAACTGTATACAGTAGGTCTACTGTGACTGTACCTACAGTGTAGTGTACAGAGCATTGTACTGTACGGTAAGCGGTAACTTACGCTACTCTTTTTGTATCATACAACATACTGTACGTACGGTAAATCGGTAAGGTTGTGTCTTTGCCACACCTCTTTTTAAGCCGGTTTAGTTCATTTACGTTAACAGTAATAAGAGAAAATTCAGAAAAGTCCTGACAAGTAATGCGATAATGAACAGCAAACTGACTCATACTTGAGTTGTGGTCACTTTATACAGTTTACGTTTTTACTTACTTTTTGAGCTAATTTATAGTTGAACGTCTTCTCTATTAGCCCCTATTATTGAGAGTAACTTACTTGATTTTAAGTACGATTAATTTGATGTGGCTGCCTGTTGCTCGTAGATAGTTTCTTTATCAATTTCTGGTTGACTTTATAGTTTTATTTAGTAGATATATCAACTTTTATTTGATCTAATTGATTCCATGTGTGTGGTACTATAAAACTAGAAAATTTTAAATAAAGCGTTTCAGCAAGTAATTATGCTCACGATTTTATCTGATGTATTTAAAGATTATGGGCATTGCATTGATCGTTCTGGGAGCTGTCGTTAAGAGTACATATGGAAGTGTTTTCACCATAACGAATAATGCGTTGACAAGTGCTCCAGTTATTGTAATCATAATTGGATGTATCATCTTCCTCATTGCTTTCTTTGGCTGCTTTGGAGCTATCCGAGAGAGCTACTGCATGATTACTACTGTAAGCAGTAACTTACACTTTATTCTTTTTCGATATTGCGTCTATTGATTGTAAAAGTGCTAATGGATTGTAAATTAATTTTTAAAGTTCTCCATTTTCATGGGAATAATCCTTATCATGGAAATTGTTGCCGCTATCTTAGGCTATGTCTATCGCGCGGATGTAAATATATTTATGAGCCTTCTGTAGCAATTTTCATTTCTAATACTACATGCATTATATTGTGTTGTATTTACATCAATTTATATTATTTTTAGGTCAAGAAAGTACTGGGTAGCTCTTTTGATAAGGCGTTACACAATTATAACAATCACAATACTTCGGCAACCGCCAAGGCTTTCGACTTTTTGCAGAGAACCGTAAGTTACTAGCTGCATTTTTATAGGATGACTTTGGTAGAATTTATGGCTAATAGTTTTGTAATCTTATGATTATAGGTCAAATGTTGTGGATCTAATAACTATACTGACTGGTTCGATGCGCGTTTTGACGGTAATGCGATCAGCGTTCCAGATAGTTGTTGTAAGACAATGTCCGCAGGCTGTGGATATGATATTGGACAAAATCCCAACTTAAACAATATCATCTATTCTATGGTAAGGTCAATTGTAAATTTAATGTCGACATTTTTTTGATGATTTAGTAGTTGCTTCTAGCAGTGGATAACTATTTTCCTGTTGTTGTTTATTCCAGGGTTGCGTTAACAAACTGAGCCAGGACGTTACAAACAATCTCGGCATAATCGGAGGCGTTGCAATTGGTATTGCTTGCATACAGGTATGTATTTCTAGCGGTATTTTAATTGTTTTAAAATACAGTTTGTGCAGTAGATAGTTTATTAGATATCGTTGTCTTATTATTTATCTGATTTTCTGCGTATAAAATGAAGTCTAGATCGGTTAGGCTATTGACAGCTTTGTTATATATAGTCGCTGATGAGAATTTACTTGCCTTACAGATTATCGGTATCGTCTTCGCTTGTTGCTTAATGCGTAGTATTCGATCTGGCTATGAACAAGTTTAATTTCAATGCAATATTTGCTTTATGACAGAAGCGTTGTCTTCTGTTATTATATTTGATATATACTTAGCATTAAAAATTAATAATGCTGTAGCTAGTATGCTTTGTCTAGTATGAATAAAATGCTTAATTATACTTATTTAGCCTTATTTGGTACTACTGGATTTATATATTGTTAGAAACGATACGAAATGTCTCTCAATCACGAAAGATTCTGTGTATACATTTATCTTTGTATTTTCTAATGACTCTAATTGTATTAGCCTTTCTAATTGAAGTGGTACTACCTTTATTTGTAATCTACAGGACTCTGATATGCTAGCATTATTGTAGAATATCGTATATATTAAAATACCGTTATTATCTAAGTTATAATTTTGGTATACGATTACTGATTTTACTTGATTGATCCTGGATATTTTTGATTACTGTCCTGTAATGAATTACTATGCTTTAGAAGAACGCGCAAGTCAAGTACATTACGATTATAATTATAATTATTAGCAGTAGCATAGAGACATTTCTGTGAAGTAAAGCACATTTCGTAATTTATTGTAGTTAATTGTATAGTTACTGTACTAATACTATGATACTCAATTTTATAATGAAATCCTGAAATTTTTCTCCGAAATTTGATGAGTATGAAAATATCTCAAATAGCTATAACCGAGCCAGGTCATTTTTAGTAACATACACATATGACAGATAACTGTATCGCGGATTTATATCAAATGCGATTTTCTATAGTTTTAGCATCTATATTACTATGAAAGAATGTCTACTTCCGATAAGGTACGCGCTATAGATTATTGAGTTGAAGAAGAGGGATATTATAAATTTCGTTGTCATAGAAAGGTACGCTTATAAAGACACTAGATCGCTTATTTGTGTCGTCGGGCTCAGCTGTTATTTTTAAGCCTAAAATTTTTGGGATTAAACACTCATTTGAGATTTTTTGGTTGAAATCGTCACTTGCATAAAATCAGTCATACCTAATGTTAGGTCTACAAAGAATGAAGATGATCTCACTCGTGTTAATATTACATCTAAATTTAGTAGCTATAGTAGAAAGGCTTAATAAAACATACTGTAGAAATAGGTAATAATGTGTAGTTTAGGATTAGTCTATTTACTGATTGCAATAAAATCGATACTATGTAGTTTTTCTTTATTTCAAATAAACTAGTCGATGTGATCCATCTAAGTGCTAGGCAGTAATAACTATAAATAATGAACTTACAGTACTTTCGTAGTAGTTATAGTAATATTGATTGAGGAATATGATATCAATAGAAATATGTAGTCAAGAGCATGGGCTTTTAGGTCTAGAAGTCCAAGTCAATAGCTGAACCGTACCACAATATAAATACGGTATAATACAGTAGCAGCTTATACAGTAAGCAGATGTACAGTACTGTATATCTTGCTGATTTTACGTTACTGTATTATGATAACGGCAGAATGAGCGAAAATTTAATAACTTACTTGTTATATTTCAGCCGTCATTTAAGAGTTAATGCAGTCTGATATGAGAAATTATAGCAGATCTGCTTACTACCGAACGGCAATTACCTGTATTGTATATTGTATAGTATACTTGATCCGAGCTATTCTTAAAGAACTAGTCGATCCCTCGCTCGTTATACTTCACGTACTATACTCGTAGTCTCGTACCTTTTACTTTCCATTATCTGATAAGAGTAGAATCAGGAATCGCTTGATAAATCAAAAATAGTGACTAAACCGGAACAACGATTACGAGATGTTGACGATTATAGTCGTTGGCATTTGCTATACATACGACACGCGTATGGTATTCGAGGTCATGCATGTAATAAAATTGCTGTATTCCATGCTATTTTGAGAAAGTTTATATTTCACTTTATTCTAAAGGTTGATGATTTATTAATCAAAAACGTATCTATGTAATGGTGTTGAAGTTATTGATGCTCTGATATCTGATTGTCATGGTCGAAGTATTAGTTAGTACACGAGTTATAAGACAATTTTGACGTTGTAGATAAAGGAAATTACTAAATGTATTGAAATACTGGTATTATTACAATTTTTTCCTAATCTAATAAAGTTGATACGTAGAGAGCCGAGATTTTAAAGGCGTAAGTTAATTTGCTGGTACATTCAATATACATATATGTTAATTATACTAAAGCTATACTTATGTCAATGATATTGAAGGGAATGTAATGTAGTATTTAGTTTCATAGGTTGATTGAGAAATTGCGTTTATTTGTTGTAATTATGGCTTCTTATAGGACCATTATCAATCAATCAATCAATACTGCAGCTTAGCTGACAAGTATCCCTGATGCGGTAATGTGTGAACGATCGATTGTAGGTTTAGTAGTCTTTCTTGAATGTCCTAAATTATTCGTAAATCTATTAAGATACAGTGGAGAGCAAAGGCCGAAGAATCTCAATTACCTTTTTATTTTTACTTTGCTTTTTACTTAATTAAGGGTTGCATTATAAATTTATACTGTAATGTGCTGTGTCTTAGGTACAAAGTATAATTTACTGTACTCGTACATGGCTTGTTGTGAGCAATTACCGATGAAAAACGTACATGGATTTCCTTGCTTAACGATCTTTAGTCATAGCTTGCAAATATGACCTGATATGCTGATCGCAGGCTACCGAAATTTCGAATTTTGATGATGTGGATCGAACTTTGAAATTTGATTACTTCGGGAATTAGGAATGTCGGAAAGCTAATAGCTTATGCTAATCAATACCATCTGCATTTCATCAGCAGTATTCTATAGTTATTGTCATATATATAATTTAATTTTATTTTACAATATACTATACAGTACATTCGTACATGCTTTATACGTTAGTTATTACCATACGTATTCTAATTTGTAAGTAGGCAGCATAAAATGCGCTCTACTATTCTGTGATTAACGGTTCTGTCCGTGGTGTACTCGTATACTGAAGAAAACCATATTAGCAATACGTCCACGACACTTGAGGTTTACTGTTCGCTTTAATAACTTTTTAGAGCTGAGGCTTGCTTCTATATTTATTTATTATAAAGCAATGGAAAAAAAAAGAGATACTGTACAATTTAGTTTTCTAGAATTCACTGCGATTTTAGTTGTTTAAATTTTGTGCATGCACAAAATAACAGTACAGTACAGGCCTGTAGTTTAGGATTCCTTACAAGGCCTCTCACGGGATATTAAAAGTGTTTACTTTTACTTATATTCTTATGATTAATCGATAGTCCATGATTAATTATATATTACGAAAGATGTAGTGCGAATTGTATCGAAGTTGTAGTCAAGACGTAATAAAAAACTTTTTGGTTTGTTTTATTACTTGGTTTTTGCCACCTCGACAATAGGTTATACAGTACTAATAAGATGCAGGCTGCTTGGGTTTTGTTTTCTTTAATTAAGTTGAAAAAATCCCATGGGCTGCTTGAATTTCAATATGTTATGGACTACGCATGTCGGATAGGATTACTACAGATAATGCCATATATGGTCAAGAAAACGCTCCTGAAACAAAAGGAGACCAACCCTGAAGAATTTAAAAACACATTCACTTTAAAACAATGCCTTCACCCCACCCAGGGTTTGCAGATAGCCGCCCCCACATTATCTACTGTACTGTCAGGGACTTGTAGAAGTTTCTGGTACTGTAAAGAACTCTATTTGTAGTGCTTCCACACTACACAGTGGTACAAGTCTGAATTACCAGCTAGATAATGATAGAATTTAGATCAAGTTAGAAATTGTATATTTAAGCTATAAACTCTAATAATAAATTTACCGTACAATATATTTTTATAATTTTAGAATAAAAGACAGTGGGTATGAAGAAACATAAACTGAAGCTATGGAGTGTTTTTGGTCGTCAGATTGACCAGGAACAATTAGTCTGCAATAATAAAAAGAAAGAAGGGATTAACTGTGCAGTATTATACTGTACTGCTAGGTGCACTGAGTAATGCGGTACAGTACTGTACAATGTACATTAGCACTATGTACTGTATGACACGGTCACCCGGACACGTTAATTCGTCTTCAATAACACTGTAAAAAGAAAAAAAGGAAAGGGATTAGTGTATTATACTGCTAACCGCGCTGAGTAATGCGGCACAGTACAGTAGCACAGTATGATACGATCACCAGGCCACGTTCAACTCGACACTGCTGTACTGTACTGTACTGTACGCACGTAGTACTGTGCGGTCACACTCCGTCACAGTCACGGACTACTACAGTACAGTATTGTAGTGTACGTGTACAGTGCAAAGCGATTACAAACCTTATAGTGGTCCGTCAAAAACGTGATACTGTACTGAATTATTGAGTACAGTACTAACTGTACAGTACAATACAGTACTGTACAGTACATACATCTCGACTTCTGTATAATTAATTAATTAACTTCAATTTTCTTTCTTTCACCTCGTTTTCTTTAACCTCAAGGTTGTTGGTGTTCGATTTTTGGAAATCTCAATTAATCACGGTTAGTATTGTATAGGAAATATTATTCTGGAATTTAGCAGGCTGATGTAAAAAATACATGTATTAAAGGCTGTACATGTTAACGAGGTTGTTGTATTACCTTGCATGAGTGGAGTTTAAATTTATCCAAATATTGGACATTGGATATCTATCTCGCAGTTTTGACTTGTACCGCGTCGACGCCACACTCTGTATTAATTTCGACGTTAATGAACTCGACGTGAAGCGTAGTCGGTGCGCTATAAATCGTTACTAGACATGCAACTTTTTTGTACTAAAGCGATACTAATGATGCATTCTAATCAGTAGCCATTTTCAATGATTAGCAATAAGATGGATGAAGTTATAGTTATATGTTAGCTTGTATAGATGGTAGAACGATCGTATTCTATTATACTAATACTGTACACTGTGTACAGCTTTGTAGTGTGGTTGCTTCTTACTCTAGTTCTTGCAGTTCTAGTTTCCGCCTAGCCAATTGAGTTTTTTTGGACTGAGATTAATGCTCTAGGAATGGACTATTGAAAAAGTGATCGTTTACACATCAATTGAAGTAATAGTAACGATACAATATTTTACAGGGCCTAGGCCTGGACATGAACTTGTTTTTCAACATTGAATTTTAAGGTGGATTTCACAGTACGTAGTGCGTACAATCCTTAAAAAATACCCCACCCAAAGACTGTATTCTACGCACAATGCAAAGTTACTTGTCTATCGGGGATACATGCCACTGTCTTTTCTAGTTTGCAATGTGTAGTGATATAGGCAAGGGTGGTTCCATAATTTCAATGATTAGATCTATCTTTCTTATCATTTCACAGCTATAATTTCCATCAGGTCCAATACTGTGGTAGTCTCTCTGTATAACGCTTATACTGTAAGCTATACTGATTGTTCGACATGTTAAAATAAATGAAATGAATCGTCTTGTACAGTTGTACTGTACATACTGTGACCGCTTGATTGCGCGATACTATAATCGACCGTTCTTTGTATTAATCATGCGCGCTCTGAGTCATGGATTGCAGCCATGTCTGTACGTCTGTAATTAAAGAATAAAGTTATTAGTTTTGTTGTTTTAATTTAGTTTTAGTTAATTAGCCTAATCTTACTAGTTTATAGTAGAGAGCTATTGTACGACGCTGATGAAATTACCAAATAGGCGCTGAAGAACTATAATTAATCAACCATTGGCAAACTGTATTGACTATGCTAGATGTTATCTATCAATTGTGCAAATCAGATTTGACTACAGGAGCTGCTCTAGCATAAGAAAGTTGTTTAAATTAATTAATTAATATAGCATATTTAAAAGATGACACAAGTTCTCCTTATACTGTATAGTTAATTAATCCGTTATTAATATGCGTGTATTTATTTATCAAAATCGGTAGTAACCGTTTGACGCTTATCATTATGATGGCGCTGTCGTTTTGACGGTTTTGTAGGCATCATTTGCTGACCTAAAATTTTCATGTATACCAAGATGATTGTATAGCATTTTTATAATTTATTTATCGATCTTGCGTAAAAGCGTAAATAATGGCATTTTAATCAGCGATTAATGAAGTGATAATATGTTAAGCTTGTACTATATTACAATTGCTGTCGCTGCAAATTTGATCACTTTCACTAAAAGTTTAAAGTCCGATGATCGATTTTGATTAATAGTAATATTGAAAATCTGTAACTTTTTTGTAGTACTTACTTTAAAATGTTATTACTGCGCGAACATAGTCAAATATCGGATGTCGAAAGTTAAACTTCCTAGATATCAATATACGTATTATCGTTTATATTAATCTGAGTATTTAATTTGGGGTTGTAATTAGCCTCTTGAAATGAAAGTGCTTAAAAATTGTTTAGCCTGGCGGATATTACTGCTAATTTCTAAACATAACATACTTTCCTACGTTACCAAATTTTGCTTTGCTTGTTAGTAGGATGCAATGTTATACTTATGTAGATATTGTGCTAATGTTAAGATGCAGTTGTCGTGTATGTATTTCAGTGATAGAATAGATTAATTTTTTGCAAATTACGTTCATGGCTGAAATTCAGCTGACTGAATTTTGATAATATCGTTATTAATAGATTACTGATTCTGATTAGAGATTGCGGAGTACAACATAAGTATACGCGTATATATAGTAGCTAACCTGCTGTATACTGTACGGCTAAGATCTACCACGACTTCAAAAACAGTCATTCATTCGAAATTAGAGAGTACTGTTGAAATTATTTAATATTGTCAACATTAATGCTGCTTTCTACATCATTCTTTAGTGATAAACAATGGGCGATCCTGTTGATCCAGCGTTTGCTAGCTCAGGAAAGAGCGATGGACTTGAAGTCTGGAGAATCGAAGTAAGTTCACGTAGTCGTATTGCCTTTGTATTCATACAATTTATAGCTTTGGAACTAGCTATGACAATACATGATATAATTTTAGTTATTAGAGTACAATATGCCATTATCTAGTCAAATTTAATCTGCAGTCCAATCACAAAAAATGTGATCGCACAGTATATGAGGCAGATACCACGCCGCTGCATGCTATTAATGAATGAATTAATACGATTTAATATCATTATATTAGAGGTATATTAGGTGAAAATTACTATTTATAAAGTATTATTTTAAATAGGTAATTGAGATTTTGTTAAGCTGTCACTTTTTTTTGAATGTGTTATCTGCAGAGCATGCAAGTTGTTCCATATCCAAAGGACAAATATGGAGAATTTTATACCGGCGATTCTTTTATTATTTTACATGTAAGATGTAGCTTAAATGTATACTGCAAGGAGAGACTTCATTTTGCTAATTGGAATTTGCATTAGATGGAAAAATAAGTAAATTTATGCACGAAAATTCACCGAAAAAATAGCGATAATGTTAGAAAGGGAATTGTACCGTTAACACTCATTATTATCATTATAGACCAAAACTCTTCCTTCCGGAAAAGTAGAATGGAATATTCATTTTTGGTTAGGAAAGGACACAAGCAGAGTAAGAAAATTTAATGTATTAATTCGTACAAAAGTTATTTTTAATTATAAAGTTACTGTTGTAAAGGATGAGGCTGGAGTTGCTGCTTATAAAACTGTTGAATTAGATGATCACCTTGGTGGTTCACCTGTGCAACATAGGGAGGTAATCAGAACAGCTGTGATAGAAATTGATAGAATTGGGACTTAGAAATCCATGTACACGTATATTTCGTAAAGGATGATTTTTTTAGATTGTTTATCGTATCATTAATTTGGCTACTGTTAGGTGCAAGAGCATGAAACCAAGCGTTTCTTATCTTACTTCAAAAAAGGAGTTCGGTTGGTATATATCGTTAACATCAACGTAGCATTGATATAACTATATTATTGATCAGGTTATATTACTGTATGATAATAGATTTTAACTTATTTTTCGCATTTGCTAGGTATCTTAAAGGAGGGGTTGCATCTGGATTTAAACATGTTGATAAGGATAAGGTCGAAAAACGCTTGCTGCAAATAAAGGGTCGCCGACATATTCGTGTTATGCAAGTTGAATTAAAATGTTCATCATTGAACAAAGGAGATTGCTTTATTTTGGACACTGGGCGCATATTATATGTTTGGAATGGCTCTCAAAGTAGTCGTGTCGAAAGAATTAAGGTTGGATATGATCTGTTATCGATCTTTGTCAAAGGATTATGGCATATATGTAACAATGATATTTTAGTTACTTCTATTCATAAGTTAAACTGTTTTGTGGCGTCTGAACATCGGCGTAACTAGTTTTGACTTACTTTTAAGGCAATGGAAGTTGCAAGAAAGATCCGAGATGATGAACACGCAGGAAAGGTGCATGTTAAAGTCATCGGTTAGTGTTTTGTATTATTCTATTTTAGTATGACTGTTGCAACTTTCATGCTATCTTATATTTTTAGCTTATTGAAATCTTTTGTACTAAGTCTTGTCATGATTCTGCTTTAGAGGAACAAGATGACAATCCAGATTTCTTCAAAGATCTCGGCTCAAAAGATAAGGTTATCAAATCTGCAGATACTGCTGGTGATGATGATGCTTTCGATAGAAAGCACCAGACAAATGTTACCTTACACAGGTTGGCTAGATTCTCAATGAAAATCAAATTGTTGATGAAAGTAAAAATTATAAATCATTTTCTTTATAGACTATCTGATCAGTCCGGGAATATAGAAATAAATGATATTGCTGCTGCTCCATTGAAAAGGAACATGTTGAATAATGATGTAATACCTTACTTCTTTACTCTTATTTTCAAATGAAATTAATTAATTTTTTTTGTTTAGACTGTAATGTTTTGTTAAAATATGATAGCGTCTTCGGCTACTACTACTGATATACAGTATATTTTTTGGCTGTAACCGATACAATTAAATTAGTCACGATCTGTGATATCTTACACTGCTAATTTTTATGGATATTGCTTTTAGGACTGTTTTATACTTAACACTGGGCCATCGGGTGTATTCGCCTGGATTGGGAAGAATGCTAGTCGTGAAGAGAGAACAAAGGCTGTTAAATTTGGAATGGTTGGCCTTAGAAACTTGCGCTACTATTTTAAATATTTTACGTATTTTAATTGGCCGTACTGTAATACGTTGATTGATCTTAGTAAATAATACTCTACAGGGCTTCTTAGACGCAAAAGGCTTACCAAAGTGGACTCCTGTTAGCCGTGTTGTTGAAGGTGCCGAACCAGTGATGTTTAAACAATATTTTTCAGATTGGCCACGTGAAGGCGTTCTTATGCCTTTACAACAAGGTTCCTCAAGTAGAATTGGTGCGTTAGACCTACCATGTAAATTCAACATTTACGATCTTTGTGGTGTTACTAAGTTATGCGTTATTACGTGGTTTGTTTATAGCTCATGTTAAGCAGGAAAAGTTTGACGCTTCCATTATGCATAAACACGTAAAAGTAGAAGCACCTAATCTTGTTGATGATGGATCTGGCGATATTGAAGTATACCGTATTGAGAACTTTAAGCCTGTTCCTTTAGAAGAGCATATGTATGGATGTTTTTTTGGTGGTGATAGCTATGTCATTTTCTATACCTACTTGGTTAATGGCAAAGAAAATTACATAATTTATATCTGGCAGGTAAAATGCTTAATTGTAGCTTGTATTGGTTACCCCAATACTGTACTTTGGTTTTATACAGTATGCTTTTTGGATTTAATAATATAAAAGGTTTTCAGTTTCAGTTTGCTGAGTTATTTTTCATTGGTAGGGAAAAGACAGTAGTGCAGATGAAAAAGGTGCCGCTGCTGCTTTTGCAGTAGAATTGGACGATAAATATGGTGGTGCTCCCGTTCAGGTATATACGTGAACAAGTTATGTCCTAAGTATCCTATTTCTATCTTATTGTTCAAAAGCATATATAAAATAAGGATAGGAAAATGACACATTTATTAAATTTTCATAGATACGAGTCGAACAATATAAGGAACCTGAACACATGTTAAGAATTTTCAAAGGAGGCATGATAATTTTTCTCGTAAGTTTTATGTTAAAGCCTTTTGTTTGATAATTAAAGTAACTGAGCTAATTACAATTTGATGTATGTTAAAGGATTATTTACCTGGTATACCTTAAATTTTATATGGTAGGGTGGCACTGCGAGTGGTTTTAAGAATCGCCATGATCCTGAGTACAAGGTCAGCAAAACGCGCTTGTTCCAGGTTAGAGGGACTGCGGATAACAATTGTCGGGCCGTTCAGGTACTGTTAAATTAAAGGCGTTAGTAATCACCGGTATTTTCGTGGTTATTAAGAATTACATATTCGGAAATTAGGTTATTGAAAGAGCATCGTCTCTAAATTCAAATGACTCTTTCATTCTCGAATCGGCTGATAGGACTTTCTTATGGTTGGGAAAGGTTATTAAAAGAATATTAATCCGGCACAGTACTTATTGTAATCACAGCGCTTAAAATTCTTTGTCTTTATCAACTGTAGGGCTCTAATGATGATGAAAAGGCAATTGCCGAGCAAGTCGCTTGCGTGGTTGCGCCCAATCGGTTTGTTTATTCAGAAATAGCTAACTTTCCTTTTGTTCATTTATTGTGGAGAATATATGTTATAATTTGGTAGATTGTTTAGTGTTATAATTGATTTTATGATAGTGATATCGAACATATCGAGGAAGGAGATGAACCGCGAGAATTTTGGGACATTTTAGGTGGTAAAGAGAAATATGCTGATGATAAAACTTTACAGGTGCGTATTGTACTTATTTCAAAGAGGAATATTAAATTTGACATTGCTTTGTTTCACCTAAGATGATTTTTAAAATTATAAAATTATATAGGAAGAATACCCTTCACATCCAGCACGCTTATTTCATTGTTCCAATGCTACTGGAAGATTTAAAGCTGAGGAAATCACAAATTTTGACCAAGAAGTAAGCCTGATATTATGCAACTTTACCAACTCTGGTTATATAGAGTATTTAAAAAAATATATTATTATTATAGGATCTTATTGAGGATGATGTGATGATTCTGGATACCTACAATCAGGTATAGATGATGGTTTGAGCTTATTTAGAGAGCGTGCATTGGATTGCTTTGCAAAATATTGATTAAAGAATTGATCGTAATGACAACAGGTTTTCATATGGATTGGAAATGGTGCTAACCGATTGGAGAAGCGCGAGTCTCTTAAAACTGCTGTGGTACAAAATTCGCTGTTATATTGTATATACTATATCTAAAACGTTTATTATGTTATGTAACTTAGGTACTGTAATTGTTTTAGGATTATGTAAAAACTGATCCATCTGGCAGAACACCTGAAAATACCGTTATGCTGCAAGTTAAGCAAGGCTTTGAACCCCCAACATTTACAGGCCATTTCTTAGCATGGGATCCCAACATGTGGAGTGTTAGTTTAAGTTATTCAATATTCGTTGAAGTGTTAATTAAGAATTAAATTTATCTATTTAAATTGATATTAGGGTGGAAAAACTTACGAGGAATTAAAGAAAGAATTGCATGATGCCAATGCTGGCGTTGAGTTAGTGGATGAGGCTCTGGCTAAGTACAGCAAGAAATACACATACACTCAGCTGACGATCAAACCATATCCAGAGGGTGTTGATCCTTCAGAGCGTGAGGTATTAATATTGATATGACGACTAGCACTTATTGATTATGAATTTACTTTATATTTCTGATTCGCAGAAACATCTGTCTGATGAAGAATTTCATGAAGTATTTGGTATGTCTGCAGCTGAATATGAAAACTTACCGCAATGGAAACGAGTTAATCTTAAAAAAGCAAAGAATTTGTTTTAGTTATAAAGCTTAATGGTTATACGTTTTATGAATTAGTCCAGTGGTATATCATACCATAATAGTCTGTGTTGATTATATATTAGCCCTGATTGACTATGCAAGTTTTTAGACAATATTTGAACACTACGATTAAAACTTTAGAAGTTTCTAGCGGTTAGATGGGGTGATTATTTTACGTTTTAAATTATATTACTTATTCATAGTTAAATAAATAACCGTTTTTTTTGCGATACCATGTCAATGATGAAAATGCGGTATCATTTCTTGATGTGATATGGTGTTGATTATAATTAGTGGCATTCTTTATGATTGCGGTTATAGTACATGAATATGGAGTGTTAAGGCCCGATACTTTTATGTTTTTACTTATTTTAGGTTGATTATTGCGTCGGTTTTATTTTTAAAAGCTATTAAAATCGTTTCAATTGATTAAAGTAACGATTGTTCTGATGCGAACTCCGAAATACTGTAATCAAGCTGCGCTTAAAAATTTATCAAGTCTAATAATTATAATTAATATCGTAATTTTATGGAAATAACGAAGTTATTGTAAGTTTGTGCTATATCGGTTTGTGCTATATCGGTACGCACTGTGGTGTAGTGATATATAGTCTATAGACATTATTACCTTCGTTTATCATGTAGCGCGGTTTTTTGCATTACTGTATAGGCATGTAGCGTATTGCATTACAATTTCTTTACAACTGGACCCATGATATACAGTTCAGTTCTCTTGGCGCTATTTCATTGCAATGCTGTGAACAATTCGCATGTCGCAAACGAAAAGGTCTTTAACCCTTTGCTATTTATCATAAGCTTTAATTCCGGAACAAAGCAGATTAGTACTTACTGCGCAGATGGAATTTAATTTTATTCTAGTTATAAGTAGTTAGAAATTGAGTTAAATAGAAAAAATACTAGTATCGTTTTAATCATACGGTACATGATTTATTTCTTGCAGTTAGCAGGTTTAATGACTGTAATTGAAAGCGGATAATCCCGAATAATGTCGACATTTAAGGATTGAATGTAGGCATTAATAGGCCTGCTTTAGCTTTAAAATAGATTAAAAAGGCACACGTTAAGCACTGGCAAAATAAATTCTTCAAATTTAGAAATTATGCTAAACGTTAAATCCATAAGAGTGACTTAAAACTATAAAAAGTCGAGATAATAACCCTGTACATGAATATTTACAATCGAATTTTACAACATCGATCAATGTTTGATTAATTTTAACTATCTTTTGTATTATAACTAATGATAATTAATTTCCCATCATCTAATCCGACGAGGATATGTTCGTTAATCGAGGAAATTGAGGCACATCGAACAGGAACATTTAATTGAAATGTCATTTCTTCAGTTAAGCTGAGGCAAAAATGAAATATTGTATCCCGGTTAATGATACTTTACTTGATCTGCGTAAGGTACAGTAGCATTATCGTAATAAAACTATTTTAAAAGTAGTTTTGATGAAGCTATCCTGCACTTACTCGTAGTCATTTCTGATTACAACAGCTCCGCCAGCATCACCAGTAATGATATAGTGTTTTGACACAATCATAGTGTTAATTTTTCTATCTATTTGTTGACTAGTTAATAATCTTCCGTTTATCGAATATAGATGGATAAAATATTCTTCCTGTAAAGAATTAAAAATCTTTCATAGGTTTCATTTTACCGTATTTTATTTATTTACACCTCGCTATAACTATTATCGCAATTACCTTTTTCGCATCATCGAAATGGCGGCAAAATAAAGCGATATTTCCCATTTCTGATATTGTTAGTGATATAATCTCGCATTGACGAAAGTTTTCTTTGTTGATTTTTGGACGTAAGGACATTACATAAGATCCGGTACGAATCATGTGCATAACGCAGCTGCCATCCTATTTGTTGAGAATTCGGTAATATTGTTAATTATATGGTAAAAATCGTCTGGCTTTTAAAATTATTTTAATTCCCTGCTGAAAACTATGCAAAGCAGATCATTAGGAATTACCTTTGAGCCGCTAACTACTATATCCAGTTCACTGCTTACTCCCACACATGTAACCTAGAAAGAATTTTATTTGCAGTGTTTCAAGTCAGTATGGGTATGACACAATTCAATCATGTACTTGTACATAGTAAATCAATGTTTCACCTCATCATCGTGACCGTAGTAATGATGTATTGGGTTAGCATTAATTCCATCCTGTAACATGGCAAGTTAAATGATCTTTAATATTATCAGGCAAGCTTAGGTTAACATATCTGATGTCACGATAACAAAATTGAAATCATTACGCTATGATTTATTTCCCAAAGAGCTGCCGTAGAATCACGGGAACCAACTATGAGATATCTTCCAGTTTTATCAATACCTATACATGTTACTAAGTCTGTTGAGAAAATAAAGCGAAAAAAATTTGATACTAATTAATAATTTTTATCATAAGCAATTGATATAGAGATTTGGGTTATGAATTATAACTGTTACAGATTGTTAATCTAGAAGATACACTTCCGAAAAAATCTCACCATTGAATATTGAGATAGAGTTTTGCAACCGTCCCTTATTAACGTTATATATGCGCAAACTGTTATCCCAGAATCCTCCACTAAATAACAGCTTTGCATCATTTGTAACACAAAATAATTTAGGAAGTATTTCAATATCAGGTGCAAATGGCCAACTTAGGCATTTTCTGTTTCTATAACGCGAATTCATTATAAGGTGATATTTAGATCTAATTATCAGAATTGTTGTGTCATACCGGATGAATCTTTGAAACCTGAGGCGGTAAAATATTTATACTTTTTCTAAGCCATATTTAGAATTAAGCTTACTTTGTGTTACGAGATGCCATACTAGCGTCAAGCTCAAATGTAAACGGCAGAGACTTCGATTTTGAATACGGCAACCAGCCATGAAGTCCATAAAAGCCAGTGTCAGTTAACGCGATCTAAAAAATTGCATTAGTGTTTGCATGTCATTTTTTAGTCTCAATCTTTAGATGTACAGAAATATGAGGTTACAAAATGGTGATGTTTTATTGCATTGGTGAGTAAAAGAATATAGATGTGATGCACGATACTTACCAAGCTATCTAACATTCCAGAATGGATAAATGAACGCGTTTGAATAGAAGGCATACCAATGAAAACTAATTTTCCTAGAGCTGCTGAAGCATCTATGAAGTATGTTTTAGCCTTGGACAGATTATCAAATAAATTAATCGCGGGAATGTATTGGCCCATAGTAGATTGCTTGCGGGAATAATTGGCAGCTTCTTCCTGAGTCATTCTTTTTGGATGCGGTTCCTTAGTGTTAATTAGAAAATGGTCATCCATGATGTTAACAGACAATATAAAGGTCTGATAAAATGTAAGTAAGACTTTGATACCTTCAGTAATTGAGTGGGTGTTTGTCCGAAGTTTTTTATCATTCCTATGGTTGCATTGCGATGTGTAATATCGTCTATGGCGTCGATATCGACGGCACCTTGATATTAATAAGGTCGAATGATAAGGAGACGTTCAAGATAGATAATTATCTCATAAACAATAAGCCAAGCAGTATATTAATTTTAGATATACACATTGAGTACCTTCATATGTACAATAATAAAAAACATTTAACGCTTCAACAGCAGCTTTGCCCTTTTGTTTATAGCCAAATATTAAGTCAATCCATTCATGTAAATGGGTCGATACGTAATCCGATTCCTAGTATAAGAAAATTATAGCAATTGTATATGAAAATGCTATAATGTAGGAGTCGACAAAAACTTTATGATACCAGTGCGGCTCTATGCTTTCTGATGAAGTCTTCAGCACAATCGGCCCATGGGGGTAAAATGACATCATCAACTCTATCACCTGATTGTAATTTACCTAAATCAAATTCTGATGAATAATTATAATAAGTAAACATAAGCACCTTACAGGTAGTAATAATGAATAAATTGGCATTTTTGTGCTATTAACAAGCATCATTAATTAACTTCGCTTACTGCTGATATTGCGAAGGAAATCAGGAAGATAAAAGAATTCTGGGATAAGTTCTTTTACATCACCATGGCTTTCTAGTAAAGTCTTCCATGTCATTGGCAAAGAATGAAACTGTCTATCTGCGCAGTCAAATCTAAAAGCAATCGATTAATATATAATCATATTGTTTTCTATCATTTGCAATAGTGTAATCAAAGAATGTTTTTGATTTGTACGATGCTCTAACTGCATTTATACTTAACCTTCCGCTTTGTAACTGAATATGAAGTGACGCAAACGGTTCCAGTCGTAGCAGATAATGCATAACGCCAGCGGCATTAGAATAATGTGTTCCGTAATGAAATTTAGAGGTAATTCCAGTAGGATCTTCAAAAGTCTCATATCTAATATTAGTTTTTGGCAAAAAATTAGAACTTTCTACGCTGTAACAAGTACATTTTATCTTAGATTTAAAGAAAATTGGCACCTTTCTCTAATTTCAGGTATTCGATCCGGGTTTTGAATCCCAATAGGTTTTGATAAATCTCTATAGCTTTGCGGATCATCAAGATTGAGGGATTTGGAACGGTAATCGCGAAGAATCCAAGGAAACTACGACGAAAAAAAGTTTACTTACTTGTATCAAGTCTGTAGTTTAAGGTTTCACTATGAGGAACTAATAGCCATTGCTTACTATAGGGTATTGATTGAGATCATTGTATGTACGCCCGGCGATCATATTTAGTTGCATCAGATAATCAAAATTTGAAATTTCACGACGAACCCATTTCTATTTGCATTAAATGCACATTAAAATTATATAACAATTATACATGCTATACGCGTATTTGGTTTTATTTATTAGCTATATTATACATAATTTTACGCTGTAGAAATTATAGGAATGGTATTTTTTACGGTCAGGCAATAGCAGCACTAGTACCAATTTTATTACCAACCTTAGTTAGTTTGGAAGCTTTCAATAAATCAGCACCCGATCTTATGCCAGCGTAGTAAAGATTTGGGTGATTAAGCATCATAATTTGGCTGTAGATTTTATTTCTAATCTACAAGTATAATCAATTATGTGGTATAGTGTATCATTAATAGAGGTTTGCATAGAAAGTGAGATCTTAAAAATTTATACGTATAGGCATATACCTCCTTAGAAAAGTTGAAGAAATAGTTATTTTGATCAATCAAAAAGACTTCGATCGCGCTGCGATTTAGGTTATATCTTCGTAAATGAACTTCCCGTAAATCCGATAGAGAAATTTCAAAATCATACGGTAAACCTAAGTAAGAATACGTAAATCGATGGAATAAGCCATAAAGATTGAGTGAGAACGGTATGTAAAATCCTGTACCAAATGAATTTACAACTACCCTCTGCAATTTCAGATCTTAAATCCGTAAAGTAAATTTTGTTAGTAGTGAGCTTAAAATTTCCTGGGATTTCATCCGTCATAATAACTAGTGCGCAAGGCTCCGTAAGTATCATTTTCTCTTCTCCTTTTTGTTCTAATGTAGCGGCTGAGCTGTTAAATTAGTAGAAGTAGGGTATGGTGTTCGATCGGTTCATTTTGTTCAAAAAAAGTGCTCAAAAATATTAATACAATCGTAGTGCTAGTTGCTATACTTGCTATTCGTTAATGAGCTTAGATCTTCTTCATCATCATCTTTTGGATTGATAACTGAAACTTCTTTTGCAATATTGGCAAGTAAAGAGACTGCAGATGATTCAGAATTTTTACCTGTTCCTGGCGACGGTTTCAATAAAGATTTAATGATCAATATGATCCACAGATGCTAAAGATAGGTTATTTTAGTCTTCACCTGTATTATCCCTTAACTGACTAGCTTTAATATGAGTATCAGCATTGAATTGAGGAAGCAATTTGAGTCTCATTCTACTATAATTTTCTGTGGAACAAAGCTTCCAAACAGGCGATGATAAATTCCTTGACGTACATTTAGTTAAAATGTTGTTTGAGTATAATATTAACTTCATTATGATAGAAAATTGTGCAATAAATTGTTAAGATAATAATAAATAAGTATGCTAACTTGCAGCCTAGAATTCCTCTTTCTCCTTCGTAAAATTTTTTTATTTGATTCCACCGACAAATACGACGTGAATGCTGTCTATTTTGATCTGTAACTCTGTGGAGGATCCGGTCTTTCTCAAGATACCGACGTTCGACGTATAATTTTAGCACTTCCAGCTGTTTTAATAACGGTAAATAAAGAATCAGTGTTTACAAAAGTTAGTTTTGCTAGCTAAAATAAATTACTATAACCTCAAATCTTTTTCTACTAGGATTAATTATTTTTTCATCAAGGTTGGTAATACTTTTCGTATTAGCTTTACAACAATCAAACCAGAACTTTTCATTTATAGCGTCGTTGATATTAAGTGCTTCTTTAATATAACGTTGAGATAGCGGGTTTATCTAACAAATGTATAGCTGGGTAAATTATAATGGAAACGTAATAAGGAAAATTTCGCTACTGGAATAACACCTACCTTTTTTTCGATAAATGAACTCCATTCCTCACTTTTCATATAGTAAAGGAAGTTTTCAAAAAACATTTGGCTATTTTGTATGTTCGGTAATGAGGGTAAATGGTCTTGTAGGTGTAACTGATCGTGGCATTTATTCAGAATAGCTCGTATCAAGGGGACGAGAACACTAAAATTCTTATTATCTCCTGTGAGGTTCATTTAAAAGAATGTACATTTAGAAAATTTCCAATTACTTTTATATTTACCTATCAAATCAAAACGAACTTATTTCGAGCGAATCACAAAGAGCTTGAAAGATCGCAGCTAGTACGTAGCAGATTTCTTGCTGTTTTTGAAACGGATAGAGTTCAATAACATGGTGAAATCTTGATACTGAAGAAGCACAGACCTAGAAAAAAGTTTCGGTTAGTGTTTATCATATATCTTATACAATTCCGTAGCGTGTTTAAATTTTGAAACTAGAAGTACCCTTAGCTGTGGACGAGTAATGAATGATAATAGAACCTTGAAACCAAGAGGAATCATATCCACCCATCCAGGATCACTTGGGCCGTAGCCCCAAACTCCCAGTAAATCGAAAAGTTTCACTATTAATTCTAATATCTTTTAATTAAAGTACAATCGATATCTTAGTTGATCTGAATATTGGCGAGATAGCATAACAGTGGATATCAAGGTAAATAACGACCGTTTATTGTATTATACCTTGACATCAAATATAGCTTCTGGGTCTATATCCGCATCTGGAAGAACAATTGTGGATGGTAGGTGATATTTTACACTTGAAACATTGCAAGAGCAATATATAGCTATATGGAGTTTAAAAAAATTACGGAATACCTTTGGACGATAATAAATAATCCGTCATTCTGATTACATGAGTAGCATTTTGAAGTTGTTCGATGGATACTTCACCTATTTAATAGATAATTAATTACTCCGATAATGTGTTCCATGTAGAATGAAATGACAAAAATGATTGATCTAAGATTTTGCTGACCAGATTGGCTAATTGATTTTATATTTGCCGAGAGGAGCTTTTGTAATAGTCTTTGAATACCAGTAAATAAATCACTGTTAGCTTCAGTTAGATTTATCTTAAGGAAAATAATAAGGAGAAATTGTCGCTATTTTTCTATACAACATACCTTCCTTTTATAACGCACGGAGGTAAAATGAGACGATCCGAGCTCGAACATGAATCTATTGCTACAAATACCTGTGAACGCTCCTGTAATTACGTATAATACATAAGGTGAAAGAATAATACATAATTAATCAATAGCATACACAAACGGTGAGGCCTTTACATTTCCAGAGGCAAATCTTGCACAGCAACATTTGATAATATATATCTACGCGCATGTTTCATAGATAGGCTATATTAAGGATGCAACCCTGTATAAGTACTCTAATTTATCACATGATATCAAAAGGTAGGATGCTCAAATTTCAAGCTGTGATTGATCGCTCGCTTTTATGATATGCTTATTACTTCTAGTTAGAATTTCTATCAAGAAAAATGTTATTTTCTTTTCTCGTAAGAAGCTGCATATCATAATGTGGCTCCTCCAGAGGCTTCAACTGCTAGGTTTACATCAATTGACATTTTGACTAGTATAAAATTACCTCGCATCACCGATACAAGCGATCTAAGCGCAATATGTATATAATAGTATTGTCTTTGTATACGTCAACGTTTATATAGCTCAATTAACAAGAGCGTTACGTAACTATACAATGTAGCTACAACTTACGATCCATGCTTCTTCAGTTGTACCATTGATACCGTACCATAAGACATTAAATAATGATTCGATGATAGTTGTCAGTAACTCCCTGCGGATATCTTCATCATCATCTGATAATGTTCCATGAACAACTGTATCATTGCCTTGGGATTGCTTATTTTCTGATGCTTCTGTAGTTACTGATGATTGATTTATGATATCTCTATTATTGATTGGAGTACAAGTACCAGAATCTTTTTCGATGTCTTCAGAATCCGTACTTGCCATAGTTAATAATTTGGCTGTCAAATATTTGATATATAGAATGTCATTCACTTGAGAGATAGGCTTTTTCTAAATAAAATTATTTCGTTTTGCAAATGTTAGAATCGAATTACCTTGTGCTATGTTCGAAGACGGTTGCTCGTCCTGTCTCTCTGTAGCAGTTAGTGAAGTATCGTTATGAGTTAATGATACGTTGGAAATTGGTCTTGAAGTTTCCTTGTTTGCTTCAGATGATAGCGAAAGCTCTTTATTTTCACAAGGATTGTTACTATTACCTTCCTCGGTACTACTTGTATTGCTTAATTGATGATGAAGTAAGGTAGATGTTTTCCTTCTGCTGCTAACGTTAGTATCATCACTTTTTCTACTTAATAGCTTAATAAAGTAGGTCTGCCAACCAGGTTGTTGGCTACAAACATAGCTGTGACCAACGTTAGATGTTAGCTTTGATAATATCTAATAAAAGGAAAACGATAAAATAATTTACTATAATTGCTACAAAAAGAACTTAAATAGGCAATGAGAAGCATAAAAGTATCGGTTAAACACCTTTTTACATATAATTAATCTGACTACCAAAGAAGAGCTGCGCACCATTAATAACATGCAAGTTACAAGATTGACTTCACCTAAAATTATTAATATAGATGTTTAACATTTGTACGCTAGTACAGCAGTTAAAAGACGCACAACGTAGAAATAAAGTGATATAGTATTATGCTATTTATGACCAACCGACTTCAGATTGTTCTATTACTTCTGCAAGTCTCCAGGTCATTTTTGCAATATACGGGGACAACGATATGAAAGACAGGTGCCAAGCAAATCCTAGTAACAATACAAATGTAGGAAAAAAATAACAGACTGACTTCTGTGCATGACAAATTCAGTACTAAAACTTAATTTTCTATTTTTATATCGAAACCTTCGAATCCTACATGACCCAATCTTAGTTTATGCCTTTGGGCTTCTGACAGTTGATCGGAGGCTAATAGACTTGCAATTATCTATAATAAAAATAATTAGAGGTTATCTATAAATATGGGTCGTAATTAATAATAATATTATACCTTGAAAACTTTTCTTGCAACTGCATCCTTTACTTCATTGGTTAATAGGGATACTATTACTGCAAGATTTTCAGATTTTCCAAGTAAGCGGCATACCGAACCAGATGTAGATACATTTGATACTAAATTCAGTAGTACGTCTATAATATCAGCCATCTTAAAAGAAAGGATGCATTATTAAGAGAGAGAAACTAAAATATTGCAATTATAGTTGTTTAAAAATGTTTAATTCAAACCTCCACTTGACTTGTAGCAACAGCGATGTATTTCATGATAGCTTCTAATTCTTGATCTGTGACTTCGTCTCTAACGTAAAACTTGATTAAACCTAATAACGAATTCAAATATTTATTATTTAGATTTGCCACGATTTATCCGCGTAAATTTACTTACCTAATAAAGAGCTTCTAATAATGCGCATCTCTTTCTTGTTGAGAAATGCAACGTCTTTATTAATAACTGACTGCATGGGGCTTATATTAGTGCTGTAAATACGAAAAACATTTTCTTTATCAGAGAATAAGACGTAATCATACCATAGGCAGAGGTACTACATAGTGCTCAAAATTTAAAAATAAACGCTTTACCTATAGTGGGTCAAGATCACATCTACTAAAAATTTAACACCATATTCATGGCGATAGTGAGACCGATTTTCTTTGACAATTGTTGAGATATACTGAATATGGCCTATATGTAAGAAGATTATTGCAATTAAGGTTTGTCATTCATTACAAGGATGCAAATATTAGATGCTTTACCAATAATTGATCTGTAGAAGATGTCATACCTATTCTAGTATCAAAGTTCATAGTACTCCACAATTGGAAATCGAAAAGCCACGTATCGTAAATACTTCGCAACAGTGCTGGACAATCATATGATACATATTCCACTAATAATCGTATGGCTGTTATTACGGTTGTATCTACATACTTTGGGTGCACCTGAGAGTAAATCGATAAAATATTCAATACATTAACTGATTTTACAACAGTAAAATCAATATTATAATATAATCTTTTCTATTAAAGTTATGAATTCCAGGAGCTACCTCTTTCATAAGAGCAGCTAGAATAGGAATACAGTGAAACTTGGAAAATATGTCGTTATTTAGAGTGTTGTGCTTCAGGCACCAGAGCAGCATTTTAAAGAACGTAGCTATATCACTATCTTCATTGTCTACACGGTATTAATAATAACATCAATATCAAAGCGATAATGACACAAAAGTAATACGTTAAATGCACCAACCTGAGTTTAATGATGCTAGATTCTTTGTTACTACAAGCCATTGGTCTCCGCCATTACCTTTTGATGATGTATCTATTACCGATGTAGGAAAGGTTCCGCTACTTGGAGACGTAGCCTCAGTGCATTGTGGTATTATTTGTTGAGT